GACAGGATCGATCATGCTTCCAGTGTGGCGAAGTTGGTCATTTCAAGCGAGATTGCAAAAATGGCGCCAATCAAGCGTCGGGTAATGGCGGACAAACGACAAGCAGTAGAGGCTGGTGGAGAGAAACGCGAGGTCGACAAGAAGCCGGAAGAGGAAGCTACGTCAGAGGACGTGGCCACTCACGTGGACAGCGCGGAACGCATGGAACAAGTGCACAGCGGTTCAACCGACAAGGACAGAAGAACGAAGAGCGAAACAGTGCTTCTTGGCTTACAACAGTAGCTCTTGGTAAGGATATGTCAGTTATTGCACAAAATACTGAAATAGGTAATGTAAATAATTGTATTGAAATAAAATGGCTTTTAGATAGTGGTTGTACAGACCACATTATTAATGATGAAAAATTATTTGATAAATGTAAATTACTTAAAGATCCCATTAATGTTTATTTAGGAGATAATAGGGTTGTAAAAGCTACTAAAATTGGAAATGTTTTAAGTTACTTTGATGCTTTTGGTAAAAAGAGTTTAGTAGATATGCAAAATGTTTTCTATGTTAAAGATATGAAATCAAATTTGATAAGTTATAGCAAAATAACAGAAAATAATAAGATTATTTCTCTAGGTAATATTTCAAAAGTTTTTGATAAACTTGGTAATATAACAGCAGTTGCTTTAAAAAATAATGGCTTATATATTATGAAAAGTAAATTAAAATCAGTTGAATTGCATGTAAATGTTGCAAATAAAGATATGAATAATATGAATCAAAAGGAAAAATGGCATCGTTTATTAGGTCATGTAAATTTTAAATATTTGAATATTTTATCTAAGGATCAGCTGTTGAATGGAATTCCTAATGAGTTTGAATCTGAATTTATGAAATGTAAGATTTGTATTGAAAGTAAAATGCATAATATTCCGTTTGTAAACAGTAGAAAAAAAGCTAAAGATATTTTAGAGATTGTACATACTGATGTTTGTGGGCCTTTTCGAACTACTGGGTTTAAAGGTGAAAATTATTTTGTTTCTTTCATTGATGATTATAGTAAGATTTCTAAAGTATATGCTATAAAATCAAAAGCAGAAGTATGTGATTGTTTGAATGAATATACGAATGAAAGTGAAAATTTGACTGGAAAGAAAATAAAGATTTTAAGATGTGATAATGGGAAAGAATATTTGAACAGTAAAGTCTACAGATTTGCAAAAGAAAGGGGTATAGTAATTGATAATTGTCCTACATATGTACATGAATTGAATGGGACTGCAGAACGGTTTAATCGAACTATAATGGATATGTCAAGATGTTTGTTGGCTGAAGCAGATATTCATAAAAAATATTGGCCTGAAATAGTTTGTGCTGCGGTTTATTTGAAAAATCGTACTTTATCTGATACAATTGAAAAGAAAACTCCATATGAAATATTTTTGGACAGAAACCTGATGTTTCTAATTTGCGTTTGTATGGAAGTAAAGTTTTTGTACGAAGACCAGAACAGAAGAGAATCTCTAAATGGGATAAGAAAGCTGATATGGGAATTTTAATTGGTTATAGTAATGTTGGTTATCGTGTATTATTAAATGGCAGAGTCATTGTTGCTAGACACGTGGATATTGTTGAAGAAAACGTTAAGTGTATAGGTTTAGACTTTAACGAATCAGATAATGATAATAATGAAGAGTGTTACCCTGATAAAATTGATGAAAGCTCTGAAAATGACTCAATAGATGAAACTTTTGAAAGTACAAATGAAAGTATGGATGATAGTGTGAATAAAAATGAACCTGAGTTACCTAGATCTCACAGAGCCAAAAATCCTCCAAAGAAATTTGATGATTACTATGTATATAATAGTAGTATTTTTGTAAATATGTGTAGAACTGATATACCACATACATTTGAGGAGGCGATAAATTCTAATGAAAGTAAGTATTGGAAAACAGCTATGGACAAAGAAATTGATAGTTTAAATAAAAGTAAAACTTGGAAATTGGTTAAAAATGATACAAACAAAAATATTCTGGATGTTAAATGGGTTTATACTAAAAAGTCTGATAATACTTATAAGGCTAGATTGGTTGTACGAGGTTTTCAACAAACTGATGAAATTGATGATATTTATTCACCTGTTGCTAAAATGCAAACATTAAAGATTTTATTGTCATATTGTTGTCAAATGGGCCTAGTAATTGAACAAATGGATGTTGAAACAGCCTTTTTAAATGGTAAAGTAATTTCTGAAGTTTATATTAAACAACCTAAGGGTTATGAAGATGGAACAAGTAAAGTTTGTAAATTAGTTAAAGCTTTATATGGTTTAAAAGAAAGTCCAAGGGCATGGTATGAGTGCCTAGATACATTTTTGATAAATTTAGGTTTTGAAAGAAGTAATATTGATCCTTGTTTGTACGTTTATAAAATTGGAAATGATATTATTTACTTATTAATTTATGTCGATGATTTATTGATTTGTGGTAGAAATTTAAATGAAATTAAAAGGATTAAAATTTTATTATCAGAAAAATTTAAAATGAAAGATATTGGTGAAATTAAAGAATATCTTGGTATTACTGTTGATTATGATTCTAGTAAACATGAAATGAGATTGGATCAAAATAAATATATTGAATTATTAAGGAAAAAATATAATTTAGAAAAAGGTAAACTGTATAATACACCTATGGAAGTAAATTTAAAAATTGATAAATCTGATCATTGTGAAAGAAAATATTAAATATAAAAATTTAATTGGTGCACTATTATACATAAGTTCGGCAACAAGGCCTGATATAAGTTTCAGCGTAAATTATCTGAGTAGATTTCAAAATTGCTATAATGAAACGCACTTTAAATATGCTGTACGAATTTTGAAATATTTATGCTTAACTAAAGATTTAAAATTGTTTTATAACAGAAATGAAAAAGTAAGTATTATTGATTGTTATGTGGATGCCGATTGGGCAGGTGATCATTTAGATAGAAAGTCTACAACTGGTTTTGTAATAAGATTGTTTGGTAATGTAATTTATTGGAAATCTAGAAAACAAAAAAGCGTTACAAAAGCTTCAACTTTTGCAGAGTATGTAGCATTGTCAGAAGCAGTAAGTGAATTGATATTTGTAAAAGAATTGTTGAAAATATTTGATATTGAAATAATAAAGCCAATTGATGTTTATGAAGATAACACTGGTACAATTAGTATAGCTAATTATGGCAATTTTACAAAAATTCTAAGCATGTTGAAATTCATTATCATTATGTAAATGATTATGTTAAAGCAAATGTTATAAATGTGGTTAAAGTAGATTCTGATGATAATATTGCAGATATTTTTACGAAGTCCTTGGGCCAAGATAAATTTGAAAAATTTCGAAGTATGTTAAATTTGAATTAATGTAAATACAATGTAAATGTAAGGAGGCGTGTTGAGAATGTAATACATTTATATTGTATACACAGATATATTGGTGTAAGAGTAAGCGGAACGCACCCATAGTGTCATGGGTTGACATGACAGACAATAATAGTAATGTCAATGAGTATCATGTAGTTGTAGGTGGTAGTAAGAAGTATGGTGGCTTAAGTTAGGTTAGTTAATTAGTATGTATGTTATAGGAAATAAAGCCTTTTATAATAGTAGTAAAGTACGACTATTTATTTTCCAAATCCACACCTTAACAATTGTTTTATATATCGACAAGCCTTTGCAGCAAAACCCCTTCCAAATGAACTTAATGCTGTCTTAAAGTTGTGTATTAAAGTAGTGAATTACATAAAAAACAGTACGTTGAATGCTCGACTGTTTAAAACTATTTGTGAAGATTTAGGCAATGATCACAAAATACTGCTATTTCATACAGAAGTACGATGGCTCCCAAAAGGAAACATACTGGCAAGATTATTTGACCTTTGAGATAAAGTAATCACCTTCTTGGAACATCAGAAGCAATATAAACTAAGCGTGGCCTTCAAAAACATTGTATTCAAGTAATGTTGGCTTATTTGTCGGACATCTCTGACTCGATGAACAGTATATTTAATTAAGATTGCAGGATGGAGACTCAAATATAGTTACTCATCGTGATGATCGCGATTAAGATATATATTAAGAAATTGCAACTTTGGAGGCGTAAAATAATATTCAAATTACCCTAAAGTAGAGTCAATCTCAGAAGTAACACGCTTCAAGGATTTCTATGAAGGATCAAGTTTGAAAATCCAAATATCAAAAAATTTGGAGAGCCTAATTGAAGAGTTCCAGAAATAGTTCCCAAACACTTGTGATGATAGTATTTACAGAATGTCAACTGAGTCATTTCATGTCAACATACTACTCTCTGCCTGAATCACTTCAAGAAGATGATTTGCTGAGATGCTCAAGAAGAACTTGATTTTCCATGATTTCTCTGCCAAGTACAACTTTGATATAATGGACAAACCTTCATTTTGGTTAAAATATTTTAAAGTATGTATATTCTAGTGTATGTCTTCGTATATATTTGCCCTTTTCAAGCACCTATATGTCGATAAAGCATTTTTAACACTTGTGGCAATTAAAACAGAGTATCGGAATAAACTTGATATTGCTAGTGACTTGTGTTGTGTACTTAGTAAAACTCAATCACGAATAGTCATACTAGTAAAAAATGCAAGTCCATCCATCTCACTAACAAATCTAATCTATTTTTCTTTTATTAATAATTTTTGTATTTTATGAAAACTGATATTGTTGTATCTTATGGCAGTATAAATAAATGTTTTGTTTTCAATGTAATACTTATTTGTTTTTGTTTTGTTCCTACGCCCATACAACTTATTGTTAAGGAGGGGCGAGATTTCAACGAAAGGGGCTTGGTACAAAAAAGTTTGGGAACCACTGCTTTAAGATAATATGTGCAAATTGACAAATGTATACGCACCTTCGAAATTTTGTTATAATGATTTAATGTTAATAGAATAAAATTTTGTGGATATCAAAATCATAAAGTAATACTTACCATCAGTATACATAAATTCAATATGCAATGTAATCTCAGGACTCAATTTGGGTATTTCTTCCAATTCTGATATTAATGTCAGCATTGCTGTGGTGGCACATTTAACTTCTTCGGGAGTCTTACCACCCTTTTTTTTATTAGAAAATTTTGAATCAGTGTTGTACTTTAAATTAAAACTGTAGCTTTCAACTACATTGTCCTCGGAGTCTTTTAATAGAACATAAACTGATTTAAGCTAAAATCAAATTAATATATTTCTGTGTAATATAAGCCAGTTTAATCATTATTTAAAAAATATTTTAATCAACCTGTTGAGAATTAACTAAATCTAAAAATTATGTTTTGGCATTGCCGTTTTTTTAACATAAGATATCATTATACTTTGAAACCTTTTCTACCTGTTTACCTAGTGGGCATGTTGTACCGGATTTCTCATTATATTTTGACCCCCACTTATTTTCCTTAATTTCGGGAATACAAAAAAAAGTTTCAAATAAAAGTTGTATTATTTTATCTGTACTGACCAACAATGTAAGAACAGACCAAATTTTGTATACAGGAAGTGCCCAATAAAATGCATCTTCAAATGGGACACCCTGTATTTTTTATAGTTTTCAGTAGCCCTGCATTTCCTGGTTACCAATATATAACGTTGTGTAGCATTAGTTTTGTTCTATAATGATATACCGGGTGGTGAATCGTCAAACGGGCCATAGGAAACTCAATGTGAAATTTTAAATTGTTGAATTGCTGCTTCCCTAATTATTTTAGATCAAAAGTCATAAAAAACTATTTGTAGAGGACTAAAAATCTGAATTAAAAACAAATGTTAAAACCGTTCTACGAATAAAATGTACTTCAAAATTTTGCAAAAATATAATAGATTTTTCAGATCACCCCTAAAAGTTAGGCCACACGTAATACAAGAATATATAACGTGTGTGTTTTATCATATTTGATATGTAGCCTTCTTATTTGATTATGTAGCTGTTGATACTGAGTTATGTTGATATTTTTTTGCCTTCTTCTATCCTCCATCATTTCCAAGATTTCTTCTGTCATCCATTCTCCTTTCTTGCATCTGGTTTTTGTGAGTTCTCTGTGACTTGGTTCGATAATTGCATTTTTAAAAAATTGCCACTGTTTTTCTACATCACCATCAATTGATTCGGGTGTGGATTTTAGGTTTGCATTAATTTCTTGTTTCAGTTTTTTTCTTTGGCGTCTTCTGATTTTAATTTTTGTATGTTTAGTTTATCACTTTTTTAGTTTTTTTGTATCTTTTTAAGTGAAGTTGGAATTTTGCTACAAGAGGATTGTGGTCCGACGCCACGTCTGCACCTGGGTACGCTTTTACCGATTGTATTGTGTAACGATGAGTCCAAGCCATCACCGTTAAACCAGCGTGCGCGCGAACCAACCCATGAAGTAGGAGTGTATCGACAGTAGAAAGGGCAAAACTTTGCTATATAAACCGCATTATTTCCTCATAGAGGCAGAATCGTCAGGTGTTGACTGAAGGTTCTCTTCTTTCCTACCCCGGCTTGTGGACGTGTTGAGTTCACAAGTTGTTTCCGTCCCATACCGTCTTTACCCGGAGAGCGTGTTGAGCTTTCCATTACCCGTACTCCGAAGCAGTCGTGTTGAGACTGTCGAGGAGTGTCCTATTAACCCGAATCACTTGTGGACGTGTTGAGTTCCTTTCTTTTCTTTGTACCTATCGTCCGCTGTTATTAAATCGACACATCGTTCACGTAAAATTCCGAAAAACACACTCGATTGCCGATAACACTAATTTCATACGACAAGGTCAAACTTAATTTGAATAAATAGGCCAGGTACTGAGAAGACTAAACTAAATTGTAAATATGTACATAAGATTTTTTGTCAATTTAATTTAAGGAAGACAATAAAGTTTTATTTTTATTTTGAACTCTGTCTCTGACTGTCCAAAAGCTACCCGGATAGTGACTCCTACGAGAGGATGTCACAATTGTGTTTCGGTCTTCTTCTTCTTTAAGTTCCATCTTCTATCGAAGGTTGGAAATCATCATGGCTATGCGGACTCTGTTGACTACCGCTCTAAAAAGTTTCGGCATCGGTGGTTTATTAAAATATAGTCAATTTGGTTTATAACGATTTTATCGACTTTGTCAGCTCGCGATTTTCAAGTGTAAAGGCGTCGTTTAGGCAGTTTGAAGAAAGTATTCATTACCGCAAGATTATGTTCTAGGCAGAATTCTATAAGGCGTTCTCCTCTCTCATTTCGAACACCGAGTCCATATGGTCCTACAGTAGACTCACATCTTCCTTCTCCAACTTTGGCGTTAAAATCACCCACTACTGTTCAAACCCTTCTGACTCCATAACTGCGATGTGGCCGGGATCAGCTAAAATCCAAGGCTCTTATACTAGGGCATCGGGGTGGAACCGTCCGTTAGGTCATTACTTCGATTTGATGTCCTTCTTTTGCAAGATTCTCGGTCGCTCGCTGTCACATATCAGCTTCTGTCTCTTGCATTCATGCGACCACCACATCCGTCTCTGCCTAACCAAATTTTTTTCTCCTTCGCATTCTGTCTTACGCATATTTATATACATACCTCTCATCCGTCGTGGTTTCAGTCTCTTTTCAGCCCTGTTTGCCGCCATTTCCGCCTCTTTCGCTCTCTCGTTCGTACTCGCATTTACCCCTGTATTTTTCCTACGCCTACGGGCCCAGTTTATATAGTTGTGGATTTTGTTCCATCACCATCTTTTCTACCACCTCTCTCACCGACGCAAACACTCTCTTACTCTTTGTCATTCCTTTCTCTTAACAATATGACATACTACAAAAGAGTATGTCACACAGTGTCGGAAACCCCACATTAGAAGCACTTGACCGATTCGGCCTTTTTGAATATGTGCAATTTTATTGGTGTCACACTCTTGCTGTTAGCACTTGCTAACAGCAACAGATTAGTTCTGTTCGTGCGTACCAAGAGCCTCCTGTACGCCTGTGTTTCCACCACCGTACTGGTGCCAGCATAGAAGATGATAGACTGCACAACTCCGTGTAGAACCCCCTTCCTTTCGGATTTAAGTCCAGCGATATTGGACGTTGTCCTTCACAGCGCAGCTCTTGGCTCAAAATTAGGATCTATATTCAAATTAAGTTTTACACTAAATTAAAATAGTCTAATAATTTTTGTAATCAAGTTTGTTTCATCAAATATCGTGTTGATACAAGACATTTATTTGTAACCGGAATTTTAAATTATTCTAGTGTCAATATTATTAAATATACTCTAATGAAATATACTAATACATTTTCCCTTTTTTGGGTCAGAAAAGGACTGTGGTCATACTTACTGCACAAATAAAATTATGATCATTTTTGGAATGAACTTATTTACTTACAAAATTCTTATCAATTGCATCTTTTATTCCATCTATCCAATGGACGAATGTTTCTATAAATGGATTTTCAATGCGAGAATTTTTTTTCAAACCCTTGAGTGTAAAAAAGTGTGCTCCGTTATATTCTCTGTGGTCAAGTTCATCTTTATTAACTGGCAGTCTGCGACATATTATATTGAAGATGGAAGCCTTCAAAACTAAACGAGTGTATTTTTTTGACATAACAAATGATTTAAACTGATTGTCTTATCAAGGTCCCATCGATTTTCTAAAAAATACAAACATTTATAGGTTACTACAACAGTTTATATATTTGTGTATATGTTTTTAATTAAAAATTCACGATACTTAATCATGCCTTTCAATAAATAAACAAGCATCATAAATGAGAATCCAAGATGTTAAAGTTATTAGTCCAAATATATTTGTCAATCAATATAAGATTGAATGTTCGAATAATTAAACTTTGATGGTATACAAGGCAACTATCGAACACAGTAATTAATTAAATCTTGCCCAAGTACTTTCGATCAATAGATCATCTTCAGGGGCATTTCGTCAGTTGTGGCCTATCCGACATAAGTAGAATGTCATACATATAAATTTGGACATAATACAATACACAAAGACAAACAAACACTTTAAAATTTTTAAAAGGAGAAGCTACATGTTATATAGAAGCCGGAGACAGAATCATTTTGTCTCCGGCTTCTATATATGCAATTTTAGATTCCCTATTTCTCTAATTACATCTTTATCAACGTCTGTTTTGACTTGTAATTCTTAGAAGGCACAGATTAAAGTAAACATCTGAATTTGGTTTCGACAATTAGAAATCTTCGGATGCGAAGGAGAGGATTTAACGAATACTAAAATAGAAAAAACAAACAAAGGTGACTACCAAAAGGGCACTACACCGTATCTTCATTATTAATGAACGTATAGCGACATACGCCATATCATAGGGCACTATGGATAAAAATAAAATTACTATAAGACATATTTTAATGATAACATAAACACGATACATTTAATATGCACAAAAAAGTTAAAGAAGCCGCAGGCTTATACAAACCTAGAAGAGTTGGGTGTTTGGCAGATAACCAAGGCAAACAACTGTTAACCGTGGAAGAAAAACTAGACACTTGGAAGAATTATGTGGAAGTAACTTTTGCAGATGAAAGGCAGACTACCATTGAAGACACTGAATGCTAAACAGGACCCCCGATTACCATTGAAGAAGTCACGTTAGCTATTAAAAGATTTAAAGATGGTAAAGCGGTAGGGCCTGACGAGTTTTGTGCAGAATTCCTTAAACTTAGGGATGAACAGGGAATAAAATGGATAACAACTGTATTCAACAACATATACGTAACTGGAAAAATACCCCAAAGCTGGTTAAAGTCGACGTTCGTGACCATACCAAAAAAAGTAAATGCCAAGACATGCGAAGACTACAGAACAATTAGCCTAATAAGCCACTTACTTAAAACGTTCTTGAAAGTGATACACGGCAGAATATATAAAAAATGCGAAGAACAAGTATCATGGACGCAGTTTGGATTCCGCGATTCCTTAGGCACCCGAGAGGCTCTATTCGCTGTCCAAGTGCTTATGCAAAGATGCAGGGATGTTAACTGCGATGTGTATATTTGTTTTATCGACTACAAAAAGGCATTTGATAGAGTAAAACATGATAAACTTATAAACATCTTGAAAGAAGTGGGGTTAGATGATAGGGACTTGAGAATCATCTATAATTTATATTACAACCAAACCGCCAATATTAAAGTGGATGATCGATTGACAGAGGCAGTCTCCATAGATAGAGGAGTGACGCAAGGATGCATTCTGTCCCCGGTGTTATTTAATATATACTCTGAATATATCTTCGAGAAAGTGCTGGGAGAACTACAAGAAGGCGTATTAGTCAACGGAATGTATCTAAACAACATTAGATATGCCGACGACGCAGTAGTTTTTGCAGATAGTCTGGACGGTTTGCAAAGAATAATGTCGCATGTATCACATATAAGTAGAGAACACGGACTTGATCTTAATACGAAGAAAACAAAGTACATGGTAGTCAGTAAGCGCGAAATATTAAATACACAGCTTTTGGTTAACCAACATCCAATTGACAGAGTGGACAGCTACACATACCTTGGTACCAACATTAACAGCCAATGGGATCACTCCAGTGAAATAAAACAACGCATAGGAAAAGCGAGATCAGCGTTCATAATGATAAAGTCTCTTTTCAGAAGTCATGATTTACCACTTGCTACCAAAATCTCTCTCATTAGATGCTATGTATTTTCTACCTTATTAAACGGAGTAGAGGCCTGGACACTTTCCGAAGCTTCCTTAAGAAAACTCGAGGCATTCGAGATGTGGTGTTACAGACGTATCTTAAGAATTTCATGGGTGGATCGTGTGACTAATGTTGAGGTCCTACGTAGAATAGGCAAGGAATGCGAGATTATTAACACCATCAAAGAGCGCAAACTAGAATATCTTGGCCATGTTATGAGGAATGAACAGAGATACGGCTTGTTGCAACTCATTCTTCAGGGCAAGGTATTTGGAAAGAGAGGACCAGGGAGAAGAAGAATATCTTGGCTGCAAAACCTGAGAAAGTGGTTTAATACATCGACAACCGGACTATTCAGAATAGCAGCAACCAAAGTTAGGATAGCCATGTTGATCGCCAACATCCGGAACGGATAGGCACCGTAAGAAGAAGAAGAAGAAGACATATTTTGATTTATTGACTTAAAGAAGGCCTCTAGATGAGTATAAAATAAACAGCTGATAGAATCCTAACATATGACAGAGTAAATGAAAGGGGAGTATATAACGAATATATTAAGATAGAAAAAAACAAACAAGGCCACTACCAAAAGGACACAGTATCTTGATTATTAATCAACGTATAGTTACATACGAGATATCATAGGGGGCTCTGGAAAAAATAGATTTACTATAAGACAAATTTTGCTTTGTTGATTTAAAGAAAATCTCTGGCTTAGTACAAAATAAACAACTGATTGAATCCTAACATGTTACATAGACAATGAAAGGGGATGGGATAACGATTATATTAAGATGGAAAAAACAAACAAGGCCGCTACCAAAAGGGTACTACACAGTATCTTTATTATTAATGAATGTATATAGTTATATACATGATATCATATGGCACTATGGGGGAGGATATAACAAATATATTAAGATAAAAAATAACAAACAAGGCGACTACCAAAATGCACTACACAGTATCTTTATTATTAATGAACGTGTAGCGACAAACGGGAAAATATAGGGCACTATGAATAAAAATAGATTTAGTATAAGACAAATTTTTTAGGTTTTATTGATAATGGTTTTTGTTGCTTTCTATAGATAGGTTGTTGGATTATTAGGAATTGGTCTTTAGTCTGGAGTATTAATAAGATTTAAGAGTTTGGTTATAGGGGAAAGGGGGGAAATGGTGGCCGCTGGGGTAATGGTTGCCATGAAATATTTATATTTACGGCCTAATATTATTTCGCTTTTAATACCCGTTCCGTCATCTAACAGTTTTTCGTTCAAACTTTACCTAAAACAAATGACGATGTTTTGCCGGCGAAGAAGGAATTTTTGAAAATGTCATATTTTGTTGGATTTGATATGTAGGTATTAGTGCAAGATTTTTAAAGGTATGTAGAAGTATGTAATTATTTAGCTACATAATTGGTACCCATTTGTTAAATTTTTAACGTAGTTTAAGAATATATAAAAAGTTCTTGCTCTAATTTAAGTGATTAATGATTATGAGTAGATCAGTATAAATATATATTTTGAGGTTATAATAGCCACGCGTTTAGAGGTAATGCTGGCCGGCCACTATTACTCCTAAATTGAATTTATATAATACAGAGTATTTCTTTATAAAGTCATGTATTTCAGATGCCTCGAGTTTACAAGAGAAAAAGTGACAAAGCACAATAGAATGCTGAGCAACTTAGTGCAGCAATAAATGGAGTAAATAATGGCAGAAGCGTCCGTGAAGTTGCAAGAAATTTTGCAATTTCCAGATCTACAATTCAACTACGACTAAAGCGAAATGATACAACAGCTGCTTCTTTAGGTCGCAATTCTGTACTTACCAAAGAAGAAGTATTGACAACGCAGGTCATAAAGTTATCAAAAAAAATTTTTGTGGGATAACTCCCACAGAAATAAAATTTAATTTTATTATCATTAATAATAATATTAAGGATATAACTAACGAACGTGCTTACGAATACCTCAATTTAATGTATGAACACCAATTTGAATCTATGGCCAAAAAATATACAAGAATATAAGGAAATTCTAAAAGTTGCCTTGATCACATTTTTTTAAAATCACAGGAAATTATTCTAAAGCAGCAGTCGTGGACACTTGTGTTACTGATCATAATCATAAAGCCACTGTTATTTGTTTAAAAAGTAGTTATACAAAACTAAGCAGAGAACAACACATAATCAATTACAAAGAACTAAAAAAAGAAAGTTATGACTGATGTGAATATAATGCCTCTAAAAATGTTAATGTCAAATGCAATTTATTATGTCAAATTCATAACAAACAATACAGTAAAAAACAGTTATATAAAAAACACAAAAAACATGAGAAGAAGCGCCAAAGTTGGATAACCACAGGACTGGTTAAATACATACACACAAAAAATCTCTTGTATCGTAAGTCAAAGATCCTGACAATTTTGATAAAAAAAAAATGAAAAACAAGAATGTTTCCAAAAACCTGTGGAATATTGTTAAAAATTTGACAAATAAAGAAACCGAAAGCAATATTATAGAAACAGTTACACAAGAAGAAACTACTGTAACAGATGGTGAAACTATCTCCAATTCTTTTCCTCGTTATTTTACAGAAATTGGAGAAACTTATGCCAATTAAGAATATAACGCCACTGACCTCGTATTTCCCACAACACAACAGTGTAATGCATTCTATGTTAAGACCTCTGAAAGTGAAATTGAGGGAATTATTAAGACACTTAAGAAGAAAAACTCACCCGGTATTGACAACATTAGAGTCGAAACAATAAGATTTATAGATAAACAAATAATCAAACCATTGGTGGAATCAATAAATTTAATATTTAAAACTGGAAAATGTCCAAAAAAATTTAAGGAAACAGTTTTAATTCCTATATATAAGAAGGGAGATAAACTAAGTTTGTCAAACTACAAACACATCTCACCAATTAACATTTTAACAAAATTTTTGAAAAATGTCTTAAAATCAGATTAACATCTTTGTTTGATGACACAATAAATGACACAATAATGGAACTCACCAATGAAATATACAATCGAATTGACAATAGCCAACCTACTGCTATGAGTTTCTAAATCTGGCAAAAGCATTCGATACTGTGAGCCATCCAATACTACTAGAAACACTAGAATATAGTGGAATATGCAACACTTCTCATAATTTACTGACATCTTACTTGGGCAACAGATAACAAATTGTTAGGATAAATAATATTAACAGCAATGAACTTCACTTAAGATGCGGTGTACCCCAAGGTACAATATTAGGACCACTACTATTCAATATCCATGTCAATGATCTATATAATCGCAATATTGAGGGGAAGATAGTAAGTTTTGCTGATGATACTGCAATTTTACATAGCGCAGACAATTGGGAACATTTAAAGAATAAAATTAATTTAGATATACTCAAATTAATAAAATGGTTTAATTATAAAGGTTTAACAATTAATTATGAAAAAATTTTTTTGCTGTGTTTTGTAGTTACAAAGTAACACTAGGTACGTTCTTATACTTCTACAACAATTAATAAAATGAAGGAAATGTAATTATAAAATCAAGTTACACTATAAAATATCTAGGAATAAAAATCGACTCTCATTTAAGATGGGATGTCCAGATAGATGAAAACAAAGTGTTTAATAAGACCTCTTTAGTTCCAAAGTTTAAATTTCTCAAATCTAAAATAGATTTAAAATATTTAAAAATATTATATTACGCACTGGTTGAGTCTAGAATTAGATATCGAATTCTTGGGTGGGGCAGTGCACAAAATACTTATCACACTAAAACCAATCAACATATTCAATTGGGAAATATCAAGAAATCAATAGGACAGAGAGCTGCTATGTATCTTGCTCCAAAAATATTTAATCACTTGCCCAACATATACAAAATATATATTTAAAAAGTATGTATTGACCCTAGATCCTGTGTTTGTGCATACATTTTTCGATCTGACTAGTTAATATTGATCAAAATTAAAAAGAAAGAAGAATATTTGCAATAGAGTGTTTTGTTATATTTGTTCGTATAAGTATAAGATTTAAATACATATACAAATTATACAATTTTTGTAGATTATTATACACCTACATAAATATAAATAAAAAAAAATTATTTCCTTGGTTGGTCGGTCTGATGTAAATAAAACTATTTAATTTTTGCTTAAATGTTTGGGCAAATTTGCCATTAGACTGACAAACCCAGAAAATAAAAAAGTTTTTATTTAAATATTCATGGTCAGAAAATAACAAACTATACATAAAAATATATATTACTTAATTTATAAGATGAAATAAAAAACGAATCCAATATTTTTCCTCAAAGTACTACTTAATCTTTCATGGTAGAAGTCTAATTTAATTTTCTGAATTTTATCTATGAAACATTTTTTTAATATTGATGTTGTTAATTATAATGACTCTTGATTATGTGGATATTTATAATTATTAAGCCCTATCATCTCAATGTGACAGAATGGTTCATTTCAATGAACTGTCTGAAGGGATCTACATAGAAATTCATTATTAACATTAACAAAACATGTGTAGCTCTAAATTGACAATTTCCACAACAATAAGGTAACCATTCTTTTTAATACATTTGATGCTTCCTCATAGAAAATAATTACTATGGATATACAGAAACATAAAAACAAGTTATCATATGGCAAAGAGATTTAACTTGCTATCTACAAACTTATATACTTATCCAATAAATATAAGTATTTAAGAATTATTTTATTTGATCAGAAAATACAACAAAAAATGAAGTAGTTAAGCAGTGAAATTTACTATTTTAGGATATTAACACATTAATATGCAATGACGTAAAAGTAAAAAAAAAGGTCTAAATTTTATCAAACGACAAAAATAAAATATGTTCCTGAAATATGGCAAGACATATAAAGAACTAAACAAATACTATAGAACACTGAAATCACAGAATAGTTGAAATAACATTTATATTAAATGGAGAAGGCTGTTCGACCTGTGTAGTTTTACCTCCACAGAAAGGATGAAGTGACAAATTGATTAACAGTTAATTTATTATATCCAAAATATCTTAAGATTTTTAATTATTCATAGTAATAACAAGTAAAATAGTTGTAAGGAATACTTATCAGTAGGTACTTTAAAACATTTTAATTCAATAGCCACCAAAAATAGAGCTCAGCTTATATGTTTTCATACTGTCTATGAAATATTTTTACTTTCCTTTCAGTGACTATTTTTGTTTTTTTATTCCATGAATTTCTAGAATGAACTTGTTTTCCTGTAGCATTAAATCTAGAATGTACCCATGTCATGACTCATACTCACCGGCAAATTCAATGCAGTGGAATATAATAATTTAAGAACTATATTTTTTATGGAAACACTATGCATAGACATTCCCGCTAGATCGGACTACAAGCTAAATGTATATATTGACTTTAAAAATTAATATTGATATAAACTCCTTAATATAGTTAAACTGTTGTAATATAGTTTTCGCCATTAAGTTATACCTACTCCATTTTGTAGACAAGTAGACTAGTTAGGTCTCTTTATTTTTTTAAACTATAAGTAATACCATTACATTTAGTCTGTACTGTGCTCCTTTTACACCAAAAGAATAAATAATTATGATGGTCACTCAAAAGAATAATTTAGATTTTAAGATACCTTTCATTTGTGTACTAACAAGACATGGTGATTTATCTTACAAAGACAAGACTGTTCTATACTTACAAAATCTAGGGTATTTTTCTGTGTTGTCAACGACATTATAACTATTTATTCAATAACACAAATAAATAACAATCAGACGTTTTTCCTACTTTATATGAAACAAATTATTAGTTAAAATTCACAAAATTCAAACTGCATAAAAATGTATCAAATACGAAACAAATGCGCAGAGTTCTATTGCGCTGGTTTAGCAGCCGGAAGGAGACATCAATGCCAACTTAAATTTTTGTGTAGTGTTGATTATATGTCCAAAGCACGTAACATTTGTATTTTATATTTTTATAATTTTAATATTTTAGCGCGAGCCCTGAATATAAGAGCTCAAATTTAAGTAATATATAATAGTCTACAAATAAAATTCACTTTTTTATTCAACAAAATCATTCATAATTAAGTCCAATTATATATATTCGAATTTTTATATGTTGTACATTTTTTATCTAGTGCACTGGCACTTGAAATTTAATTTATGCAATTATGTACATTATAATCAAATAATATTAATAAAAACTATTTCAAATTAGAATAAACTCCAATTTAAATAATAATGTATTTAGCATTTTCCGCAAAACTTATAAATTCGTCAAATTTAAATGAATGTTCATTGAGGTCGGTAACTAAATATACGATATCCGGGCGGTAGAGTTTTAAATTTGAATAAGTACAGACGAGGGAGACCTTTACAGACAAACAAAAAAGAAACTTTTTAGACAAAGAGATATTTTTGATAAATTACAAAAACATAATAGCTTGTCACGCAGGGTGAGCTATACTATAATATTTATATAATTATCTAATGAGTGTGCCTGCATATAAATAGAAAGAAATATTTAAGTGTATTTCGAAGTGATGAAAAATGATAAATTTGTAACTCGGAAATAATTGATGAAAATGGGTTCAATATTATTACTCAGGGTTATTGGGGTCACTGAACACGAATATCATAACGGCGATGCTCTCCAAGGTACCTGGTGCTCCTGATCCCGGTCTCCTGGAGTTTTATGGAAATTCGATACAAAATTTGTGCCAACTCGTTACTCGTGGGTTTTTGGGGTCGTTGATCATGAATATCATGACGGTGATGGTCTCCGATGCCCCTGATTCCCGGGACGGGCCTCTTCTCTTATAGTTTTGTGGAAATTCGATACAAAATCAGTGCAAACATGTTACTCGGAGGTTTTTGGGGTAACTGTACGCTAATATAATATCGTCGATGATGTGCGAGAAACCTGGTGCCAGTACTGTCTCTGCTTTTGGAGTTTTGTACAAATTCGATACAAAATTAATGCAAACTCATTACTCGTTTGGGATCGTTAAACACTAATATAATGTCAACCATGTGAGAGGCACCTCTGCCAGGACGGGCCTAGTCTCCTAGAGTTTTGTGGAAATTCGAAACAATATCAATACAAACTCGTTTCTCGAGAGATTTTGGGGTCGCTGATCATGAATATCATAACGGTGATAGTCTTAGATGCACAAACTCCAAGAAACTAGCCCTTTCCTGAGCACAATGTGTCTCGGATACCATCGACGGTATGTTATTAGTGTTCATCGACTCCAAAATTATTTGAGTAACGAGTTTGCACTGATTTTGTATTGAATTTCCAAAAAAAATCAAGAGACAAGGCCCAGGTGCCTCGGAGAACATCGCCAACATATTCATGTTCAGATACCACAAAATTCTCGAGTAGTAATATTGAACTCATGTCCGTCAATTATTTCCAATTTACAAATTTATCATTTCTCGTCACTTCGAAATGCACTTTCCTTGTCCAATAATGCAATTTTACCACATCATCATTTTTATTCACAAAATTTCTTAACAATCATACGAATCGAATGCAAAAAGTTTCATTAAGATCCATCTTACTACAAAAATTTGGTAGGTTTATTGCTTTATTGCGGTGCCTATATTTACAAATACGTAGACCTACTTATGTGTATATATGATGTCATCTGATCCAGTTAGAAGTTAAGATATCTGAGTTAATAGTAGGCACCGAATGTTCTCTAATAAAAAAATTCTCATTAGAATATCGAAACCCACTATTCTGCAGGGATCGTATCTAACTTATTCCTATCCAGATCTTCTATTTCTTTTTTTGCATATTATAACACATACCGTTAATGAGATAGTTGTGAAGAACGCATGTAGCTTTTATTATTTTCTCAAAGAATTTCACGCGAAATTAAAAATATTATAAAAACCCTCCAACGTCTGCTACCATATCAAATGCATTTTCTATCACACGCCTGCTCTAACCAGATAATTATAAATCCTTCTACACTCCGTGAGTTTATTTTACGGATATGCACGTATTAAATTGTGTAACAGAGGAAATACCTCATCACCAAGAAATACATACGGCATTTCGACTCTACCAGGATATAGGGGATTATCTGGTGCTGGATTCGACTTACTAGTCTTTAATTTGCTTCCGAAGGCATTGTCGTGTAATATACTACTGTTACTAAAACGTCCCATTGATCCCACATCAGTATATATAAACTTTCTCTTTGCATCAGCAACTGCCAACAAAACAGTGGAAAAGTCTTTTTTAGTTACAAAAAAGCACTTCCTGAGTTATGCGGTGCCTTAATAATTACGTGCTTGCCATCTATTGCTGCTACACAATGGGGAAACTTACAAATATTTTAGAAATCCGTTGATTTACTGTTCTAGTCAGTGGGTTCCTTTAATACCAACGGTTGCAAGCGGTTTCATATACTATCCCACGCTTCTTCTACAATTTCAGAGGCTGTTACGTCTCCCATTCTATAACTATACGCTAAAAATTTGTCAGTAAACGAAGCAAAACATTTTTCGAAAATATTGCGTGATCTGCATAGACAAGTCATAACAAAGCTGTTTTGTATAAAACTTAGAGGTCGCTGGTTAAGGAATTTAGAAATAATAATGGAGAAAAATGCAATATTTTGACTGTAAATAAAAGTATCGAAAAATAGCAACTATCGATTGTGAATAAATTACGAGAATTAACTAGCTTTACTCATTACTGTTGTCTGTACAAAGAATAGACTTACCTTTAGAGATATTGATGTATTCCTAGTCACTGGAGGAGCGTTGGTACCATGTCACGACGCTAAGGGACGCCCGGCGCCGAGGCTCGATACACTCGATGTTTTAAGTACGCTGTCTCGTGATGAAGTGTCTTTAAGATGGTCAGAAAGAACCCTCTGGTCACGCTTAGGTGGTCAACAGTTCGTGGCGCAATTGCATCCCATAAATCAACGCTACTGTAGGGCTCTTTGAAATACTTTCCAAAAATAACAAAAGAAATCAAATTCTTTGAACTAAGACTAAACGTGCTCAAGTCAGTTTAACAATGAGATTTTACGAAATAACAGGAAACAATTTATTTTAAAGCAAATAATTTAGAATATACCATTAAATTAGATCATATTATAGTGCAGTAAAAGAAAGTAAAACAATGTAAAAATATGAAAATAAATACTACATACTTTCCCGAACAAAAGCATTAGGCTTTGGAAATACGAAAAAATGTTGAAGTTTCTCCTTCCTCATGTGTCGAACCGAAGTAGAAAACACCGTCAGATAAAGCACCCAAACTGCACAAAAAGACTCACAACTACATGAAGAAACTACAAATGAGACCATCGACGAGCGGCCAGCAGCTAATGGGCGCAATGAGAATCAACGCGGTTCAACCCGCAGGACTGATGAGTTTATGTAATAGCATTAATCCTTCCTCTAGGTTTAATTGTACTAACCGCGGAAATCTTTCGGAACATTTTATATATTTATTTATATATATATATATATATATATATATATATATATATATATATATATATATATTATATATATATATATATATATATTGTTATGATACGTAAAATCGAGAAAAGTATTGGTTTGCTTAAAATATTTCAAAGTTCAAAAACATTAAAATAATTCAGACAAGTCAAATAATGAACAACAAACATTTCGAAGAATGAAAGTCTTTTAATTTTGGATTACCTGTATTTAACAAAAAGTAAGATATGCATAAATTATTTTCTTTGTTAAAATATATTTGAGTGACCTCGCATAAGTTTAAGTGAATTCCTAGACAATTGAAGCGGTTTTTCCAAATAAATGTTGTGCAGTAATTCGGACAAAAGAATAGATTTTAGAAATATATGTTTTTGTTAGTTTTTAAGAATTGGTAGAAAAAGATTAGTTTTTAAATAATGCTCGGAAATTTTATAATTGTAGGTAAAAATTTGTTTGTGATCGAGATGAAGAAATGGGAGATGTATGACGCGTTTTGATTGGATGCGATTGAAAAAGGTGGGAGGTTTGGTTTGAGAATGAGACGTTAGTTAGTTTTGGAAGAAAAAAAAGATGATCAGTTGGTTTCCAAGGGTGCAAGGCGAACGGTCGTTGTTCTCGGGTAGTTTCCCAGAGGTAGGAAGCAGTAGCAGTGAAAGTTTGTGAGTTTTCGTGCAGTTAGTGTCTCTGACAGAAGCTGATCCAGTAAAAGATTGTAAGTTATATTTTCTACTTATATTCCAAGAGTCACTGTTCAGGCCAACGAGAGATTCAGTTTATCGTAAAGAGAAGATATTCCAAGAGTCATATTTCACTCAGGTCAACGAGAGATTCAGTTTATTGAGAGGAGAAGAAGCTAGCACGATTTGAACGATTCGTGCATTTGAAGGAGATCATTAAGGACGATAAACTTGCAATAATTTGTTGTAAGATTGCTGATTACCTAGGGAGCTGCTAAGAATAGATAGTGTAGACTACAAAGAACAAGGATTTGGACCACTCATCATCATAGAGAGATAGTTTTGTTTTTCTGCAGTTTTTGTTTCATTGATAACACCTCTTCTTCTTCAAGTGCCGTCTCCATCAATGGAGGTTAGCGGTTATGGTGGCAAACGTTTGTCTATCTTCAGCTGTTCTTAAGAGTTCCTCAAATCCAAGTTTCTGATATTACGTAACCAGGACAATTTTTTTCTTCCAATTCCTCGCTTTCCTTCTATTTTGCCTTTTATTATCAACACTGATAACGTTGATAACATTGATAACACAATTTTTACAATTACTTTGGAAAAGATATAAATATTTTGATTGTGAGATTTAGAATAATAATTGGGATTTTGAGTTTTTTACTAATATTGTTTGTACCATTAATTTTGAAGGTTCACGTACGTAGAACAAAATTTTGAGAATCATTATATGAGATTTTGTTTATTGAAAATGTTTGAGTGTGAATTTTATTTCATTATTTTATTTCAATATATAATGTTAGATCATATATGTTTTTTATTATTCCGGTATTCTTTGGACCTTACCTTTCACATGTAATAGCATAGATATTGAAGCACGAATAGAACCCTGAGATAAGAGAATTATAAAGTTCTATGATAGAATCATAGTCATATCATTTGAATAAATTTCATTAATGAATTGATGAGCTAATTAATTGATTGGCGCACTGTTTTTAAATATCTCAATTATATATATATATATATATATATATATATATATATATATATATATATATATATATATATATATATATATATATATATATATATATATATAACTTCGAGAGGTAATTGCGGGGGGATTGAGTAGCCCTGCGGTTACTAGAGACCGGTCGTAAGTACGGATAAAATGTGGAGGGTGATTTGCAAGATTAGCAACCTATCAATCGTAAAAACGAATATTGCTCAAAGAAACAAATTACAGCTTCGTAACAGGACTGATATTATGAAGACTACCACGGCAAGAAATAAGGACAAGCGAAAAATATCCAAAACCCAGATGAAAATTACTACATGGAACATCAGATCACTCGTGCACAAGTGCTGAACGAGAATCAAATAGATATTTGCGTTCTACAGAAGACAAAAAAGAAAGGAAACGGACAATTTTAATTGTCCTTTTCTTTTCTTTGGAAATTGGCTTTAAATATAAAAAGATAAAGCTTTAGAAAAGTACATTTTGATCATATTGTGTTATGAATTCTGCAATTTTTGATTTATATAAAACAAGAATGAGTAAATATTTTTTTCTTTGGGGATTAGTTGCAGTTAAGTATTAGAAATTTTTTTTTTGCCAATTGTCCTTTGATATAGATTAGGGGATAGATTTGAAAATCGTCAAATCAGTAGTTGCTCGATTGCGACAGATGCAATTAATCTCGAAAGGGACAAATATATTGACTATATTATGTTAGGAATTCTGCAATTATTAATTTATATAAAACAAGAATGAGTAACTATTTGTTTCTTTGGAGATTAGTTGCAGTTAATTATTAGAAATTTTTTGGCAATTGCCCTTTGATAGATTAGGGGATAGATTTGGAAATCGTCAAATCAGCAGTTGTCAGCAGCCAGACTGCAACAGATGTTTGCGAATAATCTCGAAAAACAAATATTTACTCGTTATTATTTCATAGAATTTAAAAATTGCAGAATTCATAAAATAGTATAATCAAAATTTACTTTTTAGAAGCTTTCTCTCTTTATATTTGAAGCATACAACATAAAAATTATAAAAACATCCCACTGCATCCCAACATCGCCAAACCCAACTATTTTATTTCATCATGGTTGAAAATTGCAGCTATATTCAGCGAATACTTTCGGTAAACTCCATTGAGTTAGTATATAAAAAGTATAGTTAGTATATATAAAATTTATCATCGAGCAATAAGACAAAAGAGGGAATGTAAAGGTAGTGGGGGTAAACATATTGATAGACAGGAAGTGCCATCTTGAGAGGCCACTTTAGACAAGGATAGACAGTCTCTTTCCTTGTTTAAGAAGTCAAATTTAGTTAGGTTATGTTATTGTTTGTCCCAACTGTCACATGAAATTTTATTTATATTGAAATCTTTTACCAATTGTGTCACTTTTTAGACTATTATAGTTAATATTTAATTAAAACTTTCTCGTCTGAAAAATATTTTATAGCTATTGTTAATAAGTGTTGGAAAATTTAAATTTAGCGCCTTTGCATTTCCGGATATGTCCGCCATCAGAGGCCACTTTTTTGGTCTCCTTTTCATAACGATTAGATTCCCTCTTTTATCTTTTTGCTCGATGGTATATACCAAAAACTAACTCAATGGTAAACTCATGACTTCGGTATTTTTGTATCCAATTCTTCTTTTATTTTTATTTAATTTACTATGAAATTACCTTGTATTATATGGTCTCTTTCTTCTACAGTGTTAATCAAAGTCAATCTAATTTCTTGTAAAGCTCTTAAATCCCTCTTATAATCAAGTTAATCTACAAACAGAGAACGAAGAAAAGAAAAGATAAAAGAAAAGAAATGTGATAAGGTGAATAACAAATTGGATGTCGACAGCAGGCGCTAAAACCTATCCAAAAGCAACAAATATAAATGTAGATTATACAAAAAAGATCTTTCAGATCCTAGTCTACGAATTTAAGTGGCCAAACGATATCTTTATTTACAATCTACTTCTTACATTTAGCACTGGCAGTTTGGAGATAACTTATTACGATCTGCCCTCATGGGTTAAATATTTTGGCAAATAGAAATGAATTTATTGTATTATATTAACGTTTCAAATGGAATTTTAATTTAATTTTGCATTTATATTATACTGCCATTAAACTGGTAATCAAAGCAGGGAAAACGATTAGCGACAAAAATATTGCGGCTTGTTACTTCGTTTTGCCAAGGGAAAAATACATCCAAAGCTAAGGGAATATCTGACCTAAATGATTACTACAACAAAATGTTCTGTATTTTTACCAGTGATGGTGGTGATGGAAATGAAAAATCTCACTGAAAAATCAAATTGTTAATTCCACCTGAGAAAGAAGACGTATGTCGTATGTCACATTCAATGTTTGACATTGACATGTTGACAATCCTTAATCCTTCAATCCTTGACAACATAAACTTGAAGTTGTGCTGAAGTTCATAAATAGAAAATATAGACTTCATTGTTCTACCTATTTGTTAAAATATAAACCAAGTTTTAAACTAATTTACCTTGTACGTATCCAATATATACTTGAAAAATGGCTGAAACACCAATGTCCCAACGTCTCACTAACGATGATTTTCGAAAGCTTCTGATGACCCCTAGATCAAATCCTTCTCAGACACCTGCTGCCCCAGGTTCAATTAAAGAGGCAATGAATAATCCTAATTCCATGCCACCTCCTAAAATTGAGGATAAATCAGAGGCTAGACGTAAAAAGAAAAGCTATTATGCCAAACTCAAAAAACAAGAAGACAGTAAAATGGCAGAACTTGCCGAAAAGTATCGTGATAGAGCAAGCGAAAGAAGATCAGGAGTCAATCCTGATTATCAAGCAGATGATCCAATTGCTACTGCTCAAGCGTATCGAGCAGTAGCTCCAGACCTGAAATCTGGATACGATGCAGCTGAACGGAGAAGACAGATGATCCAGGAGTCAAAGTTCTTGGGGGGTGACATGGAGCATACTCATTTGGTAAAAGGATTGGATTATGCTCTACTCCAAAAAGTCAGGAGTGAAATTCAAACACTTGAAATGGAGCAGGAACAGGAACTGGAAAAACTTGCTAATAAACACTTGGAAGAAAAAGAAAAGGAGAAAAAAGATGCTCAGAAAAAAGAGGAGGAAGAAATGAAATTTAAAACAAAAATTGGAAGATCAATTTATTATACGATGAATATGTTAAAATCAAGACATATTGAGAGATCAGAATTATTTATTCCTGGCAGAATGGCTTATGTTATAGATTTAGGTAAAATATACTTTATTAACAATTATATTGTTTCAAGTAATACATACATTTTTGAAATCCTCCCAATAAGTTAACAAATAAGGTAACTAAACTTACGGAGAAAGTGTACCTTATAATACAACAGTGCCCAATTTTCTTTGTTTATTGTTGGGAATATTTTCAGTACCATTTGATAAGAGTTCATGGTATTCCTAATAAATTGTTTTTCAATGGTAATGTGGCAGATAATGGTATTGATATTGCCAATTTATTTGCAAGGAACTTTTCTGAGTTTTTCAGTAATATAGATTTAAATATTGAAGACTATGCATATTAACAGGGTAATATCATATATAGCATACATTCAGTTTTCTCTTTCAGAAATGTATGATGGAATTTTGTCACTGAAAGATAAATTAATCTGTGGTCTGCATCATGTTCCCAGTTATTTTAGTTTTTATTTAACCTGCAAGTTTTTCCATCAATTTGGAAGGCTAGTTTTATTACTCCTATTTTTAAGAAAGGATGCAAAGAGGATGTGAAGAATTTCTGACCTGTGGTTATGCTGTCTTCTATTCCTAAGTTTTCTCCTTCTGTGCAAACCATTTATTTGGTATTATAATTTTCTCTTGATTAGCCAATAACATGGATTTAGGGGTGGAAAATCCACCTTGACTAATTTGATCATATACCAACAGAAAATTATTTCAGTTTTTTTGAGAAGTAGGTTCAGGTGGATGCCCTATATACTGATTTTTCAAAGGGCTTTAATAGGGTGAATCATGATATTTTACTTTATAAACTTCAGCTGTATGAACTTCCTTCCTTCTTACTTAAATTGTTTGCTAGTTATCTGAGTAAACAGGTTCAATATGTGAAGATAAAATCTTTTGTTTTATCTGTTTCCTCTGGTGTCCTTCAAGGGTCTCATTTGGGACCTTTAGTGTTCAACCTAATTGTTAATGGTTTAGCTTTAATATTTTAGCATGCCAAATTTTTTTGCTCTGCTGTAGATCTTAAGCTTTATATGGAGATAACCAGTCTAGCTAATTGATACTTTGGGAAGACATACCTTTTCTATGTCTAGGTCATGCATTGAGTTTGATTATTAGATATGTTTAAATATTTTAAGTATAGTGAGTGAAATTTGAGATCTTGGTGTTGTATTTGACTCATCACTAACATTTGTTGCACACATAAGAGACATGACAGGTCAGGCTCTGAGTAGAGTGGGATTTGTGACAAGGACCTCATGTAAATTTTTTGTTGTGGCCTATAGGATTCTTTACTGATTGGTTACCTTATTACCAGTGCCACATAGATTCTTTAAGAGCAGTGCAGAAAAGTTTTTAGAAGATAGTTCTTGGAAATTGAGATTGCAAGGTCAAGATCTCAACATCTTACAGCTTCCTCCACTGTTTAGGTTAAGGGTCAAGACTGATCTCATATTTCTATATATGGTTTTGAATGGTCTAAGGGTTGTTCTGATATTCTGGAATTGCTTTGTCTTAGGGTGGGAAATGTACATACAAGAGACAGTTCATTATTTCATACAGAATTTCATGCCACAAACTATGTGGGTACAATAGCACTTTTGGCTAGACTTCGTAGAAGTGAAAATGAATTTTGCATTTCACATGATTTATTAGGGTGTTCAGTTAAGGTTGTCTCTCTCTCTCATATACATGAATCATCTTCAGTTTTCTTTACGCTGTATGTATAAGACCTAAATGAGCCATATCCGGTTAGAAATTGTGTAAAAAAGTAATTTGTTCTTTTAACCTACATTTATACCACTCTTTCACAATTAGTGTCTTTGTCCATTGTGCTTTTTCTGTATGTGCCTCTCATCCTTGTTGCCATTTGTTTAGCATTTGATCTCTTATCTCGGCTTTCATCTATGTTACGTGGCCATTATCATTGTCATATAAGATCTTAAGTTCTTTCGCTAGGAGGTGAATGAAGAACATACCCTCAATCACCTGTAGAGCTATTCTTGAGGAGGCTATGACCTCACACAGGGATGTAAAGCCAGAATGATGATGATTGTAACCCTTTTTTAGCAGCATACTTTGTTATAAATAGTACTTATTCTAATATAATATTTTTGCATATATTTTTTAATGAATACTGTATCATTAAAATTTATCTAGAAACTTATTTATCAAAAGCTACTTCTTAAAATATTATTTGTTTTTCTAATATGATACTGTGCTTGACTTTAATTAGGCTGTGTATTAGTACAAAAGTTCAGAGCATATTACATTACAATTAAATAATTTTCTTTTACATGTACATTTTTTCTTTTAGATGATGAAGCTGAAAGTGATATTCCAACCACTTTAATAAGATCTATTGCAGATGTTCCTTCATTTGAATTGACTACTACAGTAACAACAAATGATATTGTAATCAATAAACTTACACAGATATTAAGCTATTTAAGGCAGGGTAGGTGTACAGTTAAATAATTTATTTTTAGGATTATTCCTTTTTTACCAATTGTTGAACAGTACTCTTTTTAGAGTCATATTTCTCTTTGATGTCATAGTAGAGTGGCAACTCTGTATACATGATTTACTGAACTATTTAACAGGTCAAATGTAGAGTGTTGCCTACTGTTTTCATATGTACCTTGTTTTTTCTGCACTTTTCTAAAATTTCAAATCTGAACTCATGTATTTTTTAACTTCAATGTGGTTAATTATGAGCCCTAGCAACTACTTAAATAATTTGACAAACGAAAATTTGTTGAAAATGTTCATCTTCAAAACATTGCTTATTGAATTAGAGAATGAGATCAACAATACATTAAAGTCTTTTATTAATAGTAAAATATTGATATAGTTTAATTTGATATGGCTTAATTTCTATCAGGAGATACTGGATCAGGTATTATAATACCCACCTATTTTGCGGCAATCTAGTGCACATCTCTAGCAATGTTTCAGTTAAAGCCTGTTCCACTTCTTCTTGTGGTGCCTATCCGTTACGGATGTTGGCAACTAGCATGGCAATTCTAACTTTATTGACTACAGCTAGAAATAGTCCTGAAGTGTAACCAAACATGTTCCACAATGTTTGGTTTAACCAAGCCAAGACTTAACTTTTTTTGAAAGATTCTGCTGTTTTTGCTACAAGGGGCATCTGGATTATTGTGCCTAGTTATAACGATACATTACTCCTAGCTTCTAGTCAAGAAAATCTGCAAACACTACTTGATAGTATATGACAGTACTGATTACAGTCATGTTCTCAACTTTAGAAAGGCCCTCTGCCGAAACAGGTGTAGTAATAAGTTGTTTTAATAAATTTTGTGGAAGTTTTGAAAACAAAGTTTTGATTGTTTTATTGTTATTTTATATTGCTATATTTATACAAAGATAAGACCAGTTCATCCAATATTATACAATATTTTAGGAAATCGTAAAAAGAAGAACAGGAAGGGTATGCCAGAAAACCTGAAAGAATATGATTTACAAGAAGATAATGCAGAGAAGAAAACATCAAAAAGAGCCCACCAAGATGATTCTATTTATGACGACATTGGTGATTATGTTCCAGCTGCAAAAAGCAATAGACATCAGGATCATGAAAGCAAACGACATGCATACTTTGACAAACATGATAATGAACCTGTTGATAATGCTGCACCTACATTTAGAGTTAATAAATCTGCCGAAATATTGAACAAATTGCAACAAGAACCAGAGGGATATGCAGAATGTTATCCTGGTAAGCAATTTTTTTTACAATTTACTTAAATAACTTATTCCCATATATATATATATATATATATATATATATATATATATATATATATATATATATATATATCTCTTTTTCTTCTTTTTGCGCCGTCTTCTTTCGAAGGTTGGCGATCCAAATGGCAATTGTAGCTTTAGAAACTGCTGCATGAAAGATTTCTATGACGAAATACCGCATTTATTATATTTTATAGTTCTTGTGCGTTGCTTGGTATTAGGACGGTATCATCAGTGTACCTGGTGTTGTCTATGCTGGCTTCTTAATCTTAACTCCACCTTGAACCTCGCCTAATGCTTTTCTGAATATATACTCCGCATATAAATTAAATAATGGTAGCGATAAGTATTAAATAATAGCAGTGATTTAGTGCCAATATAGTTCTGAGATAATTCGCAAGTCTTGTTCATTAATTTAAGTTGTTTTCAGAATTTCGATCATCTTTTGATTGTTAACGTAGTCAAATGTTTTCGATAATCAATAAAAAATGCATATACATCTACATTCATGTCTCTGCATCGTTGTGTCAACACATTTAAGGCAAAAAAGCTTCTCGTGTTCCCAATCCATTTCGAAATCCAAATTGAGTGTCACTCATCTGAAACTCACACTTCTTATAAATTCGTGAATGAATCATTCTGAGAAAACTTTTAAGGACATGAGACATCATGCTTAACATTCGATAGTCACCGCAGTGTGAGGTATTGGATTTTTTTGGTAATGTTACATATGTTGATTTTAGCCAGTCTGATGGTATTTTACCTATGTCATATAATATTTCAGTTGTTATCAACATATCATATATTCAGTTGTTATCAACAGGTCCTCATAGACACTTCGTCTCAGGACCATTTTACTCATGTAGAGTCATACGCCGCCATGTTACCTATCCAACGGTAACTTAAACATCACAAATTATAAATACTAATAATGTAAAACAACTTCAAATTTAAAACATTTAAAGGGTTTTTACCCATATATTTTGGTGGCTACTAGCATGTACAACCGTTTGCACTGATGATGGATTGTTTAATCCGAAAACGTTCTGCAATGTGTTTGTGATAGCCCGTTTGGGGCATTTTTATATACCTTTTATAAAGGATTTTAAACAAATTTTTTTTTTTATGTCATATATCTTATTGTATAATGCTGTTAAGTTGAGGCTTTTACTTTCGTTGTCTGCAATTAATATAAGTATTTCGACATTAATATTGTCTGGACTGGCGGCTTTTCCGTTCTTCTGACCTTTTTCTGCATAAATAACTTATATTTATACTTTTGTTATTTCTGGACCTTTTTCATTTATTCGATCATCCGTGGATGGTGAAGAACAATGTCTATCATCATCAAAAAGTGTCTGAATGGATTCTTTCAATCTCTCTAGTTTGTCTTCTGTACCTATAATTATTATAATATTATATAGATAGATTACCTATAATCTATCTCTTATTAAGTGTTAAATACTTTAAATTTAAATGTTTAGGCATGCGTGTTGAAAGGCGTCGATTATCACTGCGCCGAGCGTTCGACATCATCTCTGACGCTTCAGCTGTCTCAGTCTTCCGAGCCTCCACACACTACTACACTGTTCACTATAGTGCAATAAACATTTTGAATATAAATTTATTTTCATTTCAGGTTTAGAAGAAATGAACGATGCTATAGATGACAGTGATGATGAAGTAGATTATTCAAAAATGGATCTTGGTAACAAAAAGGGACCAATCGGCAGATGGGACTTTGATACTGCAGAAGAATATTCTGATTATATGAACCAAAAAGAAGCTCTACCAAAAGCAGCCTTCCAGTACGGTCTCAAAATGGCTGATGGAAGGAGATCAAGAAAACATAAGGACAAAAACGAGAAAGCACATCTTGATAGAGAATGGCAAAAGATTCAGAATATTATCCAAAAGAAAAGATAATTTTATATTTCTAATTAGAATTGTATTATACATTATTGATATAATTATTAAGGCATGTAAAACATAATTTAATATGTTGTTTATCTTTAAGTAAATATTTATTTTGAAGAAATGCTAGAAAACAAAATGGAAAAAGAGGAGACAAATTGTATCAACATATTGAGGTAATTAATGATTTTATAGCACTACTGTTTGTACATGATGTTATGTTGCTTTTATATTTTAGTACACAAGACAGAATTTCTTTATAAACCAAACTTAGATTTTGAAAAATGATATAGTAGTTAATTTTATAATTTATTGTGTAAACTAATATATGAAATAAAGATTGGGTAAACAGATAAACAGTAATATGGTAATTAGTTCAAAGTTAATCCTATTAGGCCGGCTCCACACATGAGATCCAACGTTGGCGCCAACGTTGGGTCAACTGTGTTCCCACGTTCGATGAGGCATCCAAACATTGGGTTGAGTTTTGGGGCGATATCAGTCTGTTCCCTCTAGAGCCAACGTCAACATGTCCGACATGGACATTGCAGCGGCTGCGACTGTCGTGATAATGAGTGCATATGAATATGTTTTGTTACAAAAAAGGCGAACTTTACGTCATTTTGTTTACAGCGTTACTTAAAGCTACTAGATCTTTAGATATGCCGTATTTGGCAATTGTAGACTGAATATATGAGTGTAAATCTGTCGTCGAGGCTCTGAATCCCATTTATTCTTATATTAACTCAATTCCCAAATTGCTTAGCCTTCTATTTCTGCTATATTCTGCATCAAACCTGACTTCTAATATCTACAGTAATATGGTAATCCACAGTCGATAATATGGAAGTACATATTTTAAAAGTTATATGACCACACGACGGTGGTCTATTAGAACAAAATGCATAACACCAAGACTAACTGGTCCCAATTTAGAGAAAAACTAGACAGCCTGATCTCACGAAATCTGTTCTTGAAAAATGAACTACAATCAGCTGTAGATAACGCAACAAAAAGCATACAAACTGCTGCATGATATGCGAGCTCCTGCTACGAACCGTCTCCAAATAGAAATAATGTGTTTCCCACAATTAAACAAAAAATTTCAAAAAAACGACAATTACGTAAAAATTGGCAATGGTCAAGAACGGCAGAAAATAAGAAAAAACTTAAAGGAATTAATCCATAAAGAAGAAAACCATGGAATTCAAGAATATTTAGAAAATTTACTCATTCTGGAAAGCCACGAAAAAACTCAAACGGCCACAGCAGTATAACCAACCAATCAAAGATGAGGCAAACACCTGAGCTAGGAACGACTACGAAAAGCTGATCTTTTTGGCAAGCACTTTCAAAAAGTATTCACGCCATACCCATCTACAGAGGAAGAAAGATAACGAACCAGATTCCTAGCAGCACCGTTTCAAATGGACCTGCCCCACACGAAATTTACAGTCAACCAAGTAAAACAAACAATAAATTAAGTCAACATAAAAAAGCCCTGGATTTGACCTAATATCTGGCAGGATTCTAAAAGAAGTCTCGGATAAGTGCATAAAACCAATAACTTTTCTATTTAATGCAATCCTGCGCCTAAACTACTTCCCTAGTTCATGGAAAATGGCACAAATCATAACGATCCTTAAACCCGGAAAATGCATCTTCATACCGGCCTATAAGCCTTTTGCCTATGATTAGCAAAGTCTTTGAAAAAATGTACGTAAAAAGGTTAAAAACGATAATAGACGAACATAAAATAATTCCAGAACATCAATTCGGCTTCCGAGACAAACACAGAGCAATAGAACAAGAGCATAGTCAACCAAATAAACAATGATTTTAACGCCAAAAGATACTGTTCTGCTGCTTTCCTTGACATATCTCAGGCCTTTGACAAGGTATGGCACATAGGACTACAAATAAAATTAAAGAAGCTCCTATCTTATCCTCACTTCCAGCCCTTAAAATCCCACATAGAAAATAGACAATTCCTGGTGGAGCACGGTACCGAGCACACTAAGATATATCCTATTCAATCAGGCATACCACAAGACAGCGTTCTCGGCCCAATTCTATATTTTTAATACACAACGGACATTCCAACATCCAGTACAACTACTGTTGCAACGTATGCAGATGACACTGCTGTCCTGGTATCACACACAGATCCATCAACAGCATCAAGAAATCTTTAATCAAACCTAAATAGAATTCCGCAATTCTAGAAAATACCAGAAGTGTTCTTCTGGTATTTTCTTCTTGTTGTTGTCATTGCTACATCTTTCATCTGACTTTGAAGTAGAAACACCTACTTTATTTTGACCAACCAGTCTTTCAATACGTTTTTTTAAATGCCACGTATGGCAAGAAACTCTTTCTTACAAATTTCAACTTCATCTCCATTTATTTTGACTATATTTAACTGAAACATTTCTGTATGAATGAACTTGTTTCGTTGTCTTCGGGTAACTTCTCTTCTTTGAAATAACTTTCATAGTTGAGAACAACTATGAAAACTTTCATAGTTGAGAACAGGTAAATATTTTGCTTGTCATAATTACCCATGCTTCACCTAAACATCATTTAGCTTCATTTCCTGCAATAGATTATTAAAAGCCCTTTATGACTTTCTTTGCTTAAATATTTCACTGACCCAATATTTCCTTTGCCGTGTTGTACGTTTTGTTTTTTTTGCGAATTAAAAAAAGCAGAAATAATAATAGTTTTTTATTAACTTTACGAACATAGCTTCTTCGAATAAAATTCATGTTTCAATAAATTGAATGTACAGATGTTAAAATATTGGAATACGATTAGGTTACAAAACATCCGTTTTATCGGAAAAAGTTAAAATAATTTCATCTTTATTATCCGATGTCCGTAGCGTAGTTAAAAATTTCGGATGAAATTCGGCGCGAAAATATTCTGATTCGATTCTGACTAATGAGAATACTTTCGGATCATTGTGTCGTCGGAAATCGGATACATGGAACTCCGCCTTCTGTGGTACAGGGTATTACCAGAGAACTACGAAATGTTCATAGTTCTCTGGTACTACAGTGTTCGAGATGTAGGATTCCCTGTCCCAGTAGATGTATTTGATCATCGTGCGGTAGATGAATTGTTTTACAAATTAATCACCCCTGTGATAAGTCTTTAAATATTTTTGTTTTTGATCCTCCACATTTGATTAAACTTGCCCGAAATTATGTAAGAGACCATGGGTCTCTCCGATGGTCCTGGTTAAGAAGAAAGACGGAACGACTAGGTTCTGTGTGGATTACTGTTTGCTGAACAACGTTACCAAGAAAGATAGTTATCCTCTGCCTCAGATCGACGACCCAATGGCTGGAAGTAACTTTTTTCTACTAAGTCTGGATACTGGTAGGTAGAAATGGACCCAGTAGATAAAGAGAATACAGCCTTCACCACAGGATCTGGGTTTTGACAATTCAACGTTATGCCATTTGGACTCTGTAATGCTCCTGCGACATTTGAGAGGCTTATGGAAAATGTGTTGAGAGGGTTATCTTGGAAAACATGCCCGGTTTATCTAGATGACCTAATCGTCGTGGGGGAGACATTTGAAGAATTTAGAAAACGTTTTTAATCAACTTAAAGCTGCCCAATTGATGTTAAACCCCAAGAAGTGCCAGCTATTTCAAAGTAAAGTCAATTATCTGGGTCATATAGTAGTAGTGCTGTGGATAAGGGAAAAATTGATTCCATTAAGGAATGGCCAGAACCAACCGACAAACATCAAGTGAGGAGTTTTCTTGGATTATGTACTTACTACCGAAGGTTTTATTGGTTGGATAGTTCTGAGGACTGGTGTAAGAAATGTATTATTTGTGCGTGTAAAGGGCCTTACCTAAAAAGGAGAGCCTATGAGACAATATAATGTTGGAAGCCCGTTTGAAAGAATAGCTTTGGACATTGTTTGGTCATTTCCAGAAAATGGAGGCAAGTACATGTTGGTAGTAATGGATTATTTCACCAAGTGGGTTGAGATTTATGCACTTCCAGACCAGAAAGCCGCCACCATTGCAGATAAGTTGATCAAAGAATATATCAGCAGATTTGGAGACCCAGTGACCAAGGAAGGAACTTCGAAAGCGATCTATTCCAAGGAATATGTGATAACTAGTCATGAAGAAAACAAGAACTACAGCATATCATCTGCAATCGGATGGTATGGTAGAATGGATATGACAGTTGGCAAATATTTGACAAAGAGGGTGTCTGATCAGCAGTGAGGCTGGGACCAATATCTTCCGTTCTTCAGAATGGCCTACAGATCTGCTCATAACGAATCAACAGGCCAGTCGTATTCATATGGGAGATTCAAAACCTGAAAGCATTCTTGAATATAGAAGAGCCATCCACAATATTATGAGACCTAAATAGGAAATACCCAAACTGAAACTATAGGGCTATCAAGTATCAATAGAAACGGAAGATTACTGGACAACTACCAATCAAATGAAGACACCGGTAATATGACTAATTGAACCAGCACACTTCCCAGAAAAGGTCAACCCACCCATCTAGCTTTCTAGAGTACTAGTAGTTGCTTGTTAAGTTTTTTTTCCTTTGTGATTATTGTGGAAACAGAACCTATTTGCCAATCTTAATAGTTTAATGTTATATGAAATAAATTAGCAATTCTCCAGTCATTCACAAATAAACTAAACAACGAAGAGTAAACCTCGATTAACTTCCCACAATCATTCATTAAAATTATTACACTAAACTACTCCGTATTTTGAATTTGAACCAATATTTGGCATATGATCCAAAATTCATCTTACTTTCAAAATCCTCTAACTTTATTATTTTATATTCATCTTCAGGTTAAAACAAAATGGGATTTAGGTTAATAAAAACACAATTTATGGTTTTTTTCTATTTTATATTAAACAAAATTAATAGCTTATTCATTTTCTTGGCTACGTAACCTAGCATTTCCATTTGTAACCCTAATACTCAATTGCTGAGCACGTTCTACAATATCCTTGCGTTTCTTTGATGAAACTCCATGGGCAATTTCTGCACAATATTTGCGATTTTGCATAAGAAGAACTTCGAGTTCCTAAAACAAAAAAAAAAAAAAGATTAGAACTGCTGTAATTTAAATGAAAATTTTGCTAATATAAATTGTAAATAAAACTCAGTTAAATTTGTCGACATGTTTGCTTCAGGCGCAAATTACCAATTACATCATAGTTAATAATGAAACATTTTCTGTTTCAGGCATAAAACTGAAAATGAATTTTTCTATCTCTCTTTTTTTAGTTTTGATGTTGATAAGCATATCCGAAATATATATTTTTTAAATATTTACAGTAATATAAATTACAAAAATTTTAGCCAAATTTTTTTTAATACATAGCTGTGTATCAAGTCTCTTAATTTAATTATCCATGTGGACATAATTATTTCATAAATTGCTGATAAGTATCAATTGTTTAATTACATGTTATTGTAAAAAAAACTGATTTACAGCAAAAATTTCTATAATCATCCAGTCCATGAATCTAACAACAAATCAATGAAATATGTAAAAAAAACTAAACACTATGGAAGCAACTACAATTAAACAGTACGAATGAGCCAAGAAGAAATCAGAATTACTTCTGCATATGTAAGGTCACAAGATCCTACAATTGACAATGCTCCCTTGAATATAGACGAGTCATCCATAATATTAGGAGACCTAAATGGGAAATCCTCAAAATGGAATGTATAGAATGAATAGAAACTGCACCAAACTATTTAACCTTATTAAGCACTTATGGTGCATATATTCAACAAGGCCAGTTGCAATACACTGCATTCATGACAAAATATCTGAAGTCTACAAATTCAGGTGGTTAATAGTGGGTGTGTCATAGATGTCTACATGCATTGTCCTATTTTAAATGAACCATGCAGAGGTCTATATATCAACATCAACTTGATTGTAATATGCTGAAATATTAAGTAGTGTAGATGTTTATTTGCACATGTTGACACAGCTTTTCAATATGAAGTTAATGTGGATATCAGGATTTTTTGACAGCGAGAAAAATTGCGCATCATTAAGTAGTGCTTTTTTAGTAGTCTAAACTACAGAAGATAAGTAAATTTTGTGCTAAAGTTGTTTTTTGGATGTTCTAAAGTGATCCTAGAGAAAAATTTTATTGCAACCAGTAAAAATATGGCATAAAAATAGTTTTCTAGAAACGTGATTCTTAAAGGTTAATTTCGGCATTGCCAAGTTTTACAGTTTATAATTCTTAAAATGTTTAAGTGTTGTCAAAACAAAACTTTCTCGAAGAACTGCTGCATAAGATGTGCTTATATTTTCCACCTGAGTTATTTGGAAAGGGGATCGGATTGGGAAATTGTGGAGGGGCAAAAAATATTCTGCTCAGACCAATGCTAAAAAGAATATCAACAACCTGATGCTGTGATAGATGGATCACAAGAACTGAAGGAGCAATTGAAACTACTGAAAATTGACTTGGATGCCAAAAACAAAGAAATACAGAAATACACAGTAAATTTAAAATCTCTAAATATTTACCAAACAAACATGCAAGTAAGCAAGTCAGCCAAAATGACATCCAAGAAATTTGGTTTCCTTGGAATTTTTGTTCCTAGGACCAATTATGTTTGTAGAAGCCACATGGCTAACACAATGCTTAAGGATATCAGTTTTATCTCTGAGAATTGTCTATTTTAATACCCATACATGCTAATTTTAGCTAGGTTATGATTAATAATGAAAATAAACTCTTACTTTTACATTGTGTACCAAAACTTTTCTGAAACCAGTTGGTAACATGTGCCTAGTCTTAGAATTGGAACCATAACCAATATTTGGCATCAAATATTGCCCCTTGAAACGCCTTCTGACCCTGTTGTCAATACCCTTTGGTTTACGCCAGTTTCTCTAAAAGTATAATTTCTTCAATAAATGCATGAAAACATAATAGTCTACTGTTTACCTTAAGTTTACCATATCTATCGGACTGATGCCTGATGAACTTCTTTGTCCTCTTTTTGACGATTTGAGGACGGTAAACGGGTCTGATTGCCATCCTGGGGCTAAAATGTAAACACAATCAAAATTTTTTATCTTCATGACCGAGATAGAAACTATTTACACAATATTATTATAAAGTCATTCCTAACTCTGTATTTCAACAAAAAAGTGCAAAATACTTACGGATTAAAGGGAAAATAAAAAGATGATTATTCGTGTGCTATCCTTACACACGACTTTTCATTCAAAAGAAAGGTTTGTCAACTGTCAATTGTCATTTTATCGGTAATATTTCTTCTTTTTTTTTCTTTTCATAAATTAAACTTTTAATACCGTAGAAGTACCGAAATATAGGAAATCACATTAAATTATTAAAGTATTTTTTCTTACAGCAATTCAAGAATACCCTTTAACATTTTGCACTTTATTTTCATATATGACCAATTAACAGTTTACAGAAAATCAGTGAATTTCCTCAAATTTGTTTCTATAAATTTAATTTCCCAAAGCCCCAAAGTTTCAATATTTCATTAAAGCCACGCAAAACCATTCAAAGTAAGCAAAATCAAATTATAACTTTGGTGAAATATATTACTACATAAACAAAAAATTTAATTACTTACTACACTACACAAAATTTAGAAAACACTAAATTATTTTAATAAATAAATATCACAAGTAGATTTTAACAGATTCGATATTTGATCATTGTTGATCTTTGAGGTGATTATATAAAAGATTGTAGATTATTAGAAATTCACTTAAAACAATAAATTTAGATTGATACCAGAAAACATAACAAAATTAGTTTTTATTAGAATTTCCTCTTGGCATTAATCATTTTTTTCTCCTATGGAATTTGTTTGTTACAAACTTCATACATATGATCAACGATAACTCAACGTTGTTTTGAGGTTATTTAATTAAATTAACAAAACATTAAACTACCGAACAACATTAAACACGCTAAAATACAATACTAAAACTATATATACCTTTCTTGGATTCATAGAGAAAAGGTAAGCCGCTTATTTTTACTTTATAATTCATAGGTAACTTAACTTCACAATGTAGTTCTACCAGAGAACTACGAACACTGTGTTCCTAGTTCTTTGGTTCTGCTCTGTATAATAAATAGAAGTTATAATTTATAAATACAAAGGATTAAGCATTTTACAGTTATGAATATGTCTTGCTCTTGGGTATTTACTATTACAATATTGTATCGTCTGAAATGGTTTTCAAAAAAAGGTTATTTAAAATCAGTAGCGCACCTAGAATTTGGAGAATTTGGTCCTTTGGAGGGGTCTGAAATTTGTAAATAACAGTGTTGCAATAGGGGGTGACCTCCCAAACCCCGCCCCCTGGGTTCGCCACTGTTTAAAATAGTGAGCTGTTCTCTTTTTTGAAATCTTTTGAAGATGATTTTCCGAGCGGAAATCAAAGAGTCAAATATTAATTATAAAAGTGAAATTTTTTACAATCAATTGTGTCACAGTAAAATAATTTTAAATGAATTGGAAGTAGATGTAAAGATATTAGCAGATAAAGTCAGGTTTCTGATTTACATTTAAGATTTTCTCATATTCAGCTAGTTTATACTGCTTTATTTCATTCCCTTGGTCCTTTTACCTACTTAACGTAATGTGTCAATATTAAGTTGTGTATTATTTGTGTGATATCTACAGAATACATTCATATTTTGTCTATTGTAGATTATAAAACATGGATGCTGATTTGTATGATGAATTTGGTAATTATATTGGTCCAGAATTAGATAGTGATGATGACGAAGAGGAAGAGCAAGAACAACTGGATGAAGATGATCAACAAGAATATGATGTAAGAATATATTTTCTTTTTATTAATAAACCCTTAACCCCACAGTTCTATTGTTGCTAATATTTTGATAGCTTTCCTAAATATATATTTCTGATATTTCTGAGGTAATAAAGGTTTGTCAGTTTTTGCTATTTGCTGATGACCTTAAGTTATATTTTAAAGTTTCAAATCTATCTGATTGTCAAATTTATTTATTGTAAAGCATTGGCAGGGTTGATTGTTTTATTTGCTATCAGCTAAGGGTACATGGTTTGATTCCTAGTTTAAGACAAGACTAACTCACACTTGAGTTACTGAGCTAGGCAAAGCATAAACGATAAGCTCCCATGGTTGATAGTATTTCAATTCTCTTTGGTAGTCTTATCGTTACAAGTTTTTTATTTTATATATTACTATAAATATATTTATGCTAATTTTAGGATGAACAAATGGAAGATGAACCGCAGCCTATGGCTATTGTTTTACATGAAGATAAACAGTATTATCCCTCAGCTCTTCAAGTTTATGGGCCTGATGTAGAAACTATCGTCCAAGAAGAAGATGCCCAACCTCTGGATGTTCCTTTAATAGAACCTGTGAAAAAGAAAAAGTTTCAATTGAAAGAACAAGATTTGCCTGACACAGTGTACAGCATGGAGTACGTAAAATTTTAAAATGTATTATAAGATCTAGAAAAACTGAAAATAGTTTGTAATCTCAAGCCCCATTTTTTTACATATAATAATTGTAATTTTTTTGTAATATTTGTATGTAATAATTGTAAAAGTATTTTAATAATTTCCATTTATATTAAGCATGTTTAGCCAGCTGGTTATGTTAGCACCGATTCCAGATCATGGATTCGTTTGAATTCATCTTCTTCTTGTAGTTCCTTCTCTTATCGGAGGTTGGCTATCATCACAGCTATCTGTACCTTATTGGTGGCTGCTCTGAAATGATCTACTGAGCTGCAACTATACCACTCTTTTAGGTTTTTTAGCCAGGAAGCCTTTTGTCTTCATATGGATCTTTTACCTTTGATTTTACCTTGCATTATGAGCCTTAATATCTCATATTTAGGACCTCTGGTAATGTGGCCTAAATATTCCAGATTTCTTGTTTTGATGTGCTTTATGACTTCATAATCCTTTTGTAGCCTTCCTAACACTTCTGCATTTGTAACTCGTTGAGTCCATGGTATTTTCAAAATCCTTTTATAGTACCACATCTCAAATGATTCCAACTTTTTTATATTATTCACTTTTAGTGTTCAGCTTTCCATTCGATACAACAAAGTCAAGAACATGTAGCATCTTAAGGTTCTTATTCTCAGTCCAGAGGAAGGTCTCGATTAACAAGCATTGTTTTCATTTTTATAAATGCTTATCTTGCAATTTCAATGCGTGTCCTTATTTCTCTACTTTGGTCATTGTTTTCATTTATCCAGGTTCCCAGATATTTGTAGTTATTCACTTTTTCTACTTGTTTTCCCTCGATATCTAGCCTTCCTACTGTATGTTGCTTAGAAATAATCATGCACTTGGTTTTCTTAACATTCATTTGTAGTCCATGTTTTATACTGACTTGATGTAATCTATTAACTAAGCCTTACAGTGCTTCTAGACTGTCTGCAAAAACAGAGGTGTTGTCTGCGAATCTTATGTTGTTCAAGATTTTTCCGTTTATTGATATATCCTGTTGTTCCTCTGATATTGTTTTCTTAAAAATAGCTTCTGTACAGATTGAATAACAATGGAGACAGCACACAAACCTATCTAACAACTCTTTTGATTTTTATAATTTCTGTATCAACTTTTTCGATTCTACCCTTTGCTCTTTAATTCCAGTACAGATTGATAATAACTCTATCAAAAACCTTTTGAAAATCTATAAAGCAGACATAGAGATCCTGGTTCATATCTAGTCGTCTTTTCGCGAGAATGTTAAAAGCGAACAGAGCCTCTCTCGTTCCTAGTACTCTTAATCCAAACTGGGTGTCATCTATATCTTCTATTTTTTTGTATTGTCTTCCATGTATTATTTTGAGAAATATCAAGTGTGTGGCTTATTAAGGAAATTATTCTGTATTGGGAGCATTTTGTCACATGTACTGACTTTGGTATTGTCACAAACGTGAACAGCAACCAATCTTCGGGTATTACTCCTGTTGTATATACTTTGTTAAACAGATCTAAAAGTATAATATGCAGTGTTTCTTCATCAATGCATTTAATTACTTCAGTGAATATCTGATCTGGGCCTACTGATTTTGCTGTCTTTGCAATTCTAATTGCCTGTTCTAATTCGCACATTATTATTTTCGGTCCTGTTTGTTCTTGTGATTTTTCTTGTATAAATCTCTCATCGTCGAATAGTTTCATTATGTATTCTTGCCAAAATTTTAGTTTATCTTTGATGTCTGCAATGAGTTTACCATTGTCATCTTTGAGTATTCCATAGTGTGCTTGCTTTTTGGTATTTGTTAGTTCTTTTATTTTTTTTTATGCATATTAAAGCTGTCATATTTTCTGTCATACTCTTCTATTTCTATGCATTGATCTGTTAAGCACTTTTTCATGGCGTTTTTTATCTCTACTTTAATTCTACTTTGTAGTTTTTGATATTTTGGCTCATTTCTCCCTTTGGCTTTTCCCCTCTCTTCAATTAATGCTAGAATTTTTGAAGTCATCCACTTCTGTTTTTTTATTTGTCTTTTCAGGCTTTAAATTTTCTTCTGCAGCCTTTAGTAATGCCTTCTGAATATTACTCCACTTTTCATTGACATCTTCTGATATTAAGATTTCTTCTCCTACTTCTGTTAGATTTGAGTTGACTTGTTGGATCACTTTTTGATGTATTTCTCTTTTTCTTAATAATCAAATGTTTGCCTATTTTTAGATATTACAATATTTTTGAGTTTCAGTGCATTTAACAAATATTTTTGGTTATTTAATCAATATAATTCTAAAATTCCCACTATAATGATGATTACATTTTTCTGATTATTATTCCATGTTGACGCCTATGAAAGATTGAGTAGTTCCGTATGGGTTTCGTATTATTAGCTGTGTTCGGAAAATTTTGACTCTAAGGTTGACATTCTGGAAATTTTAAATATAAGTGACGTCACTTTATATAAATTGTGACGTGCAACGTTTTTACTTTGAAAAATGGTATGGTATATTAGCATATATTACCCATATTCTTTAAAATTTTGCATATTTGAAATGTTGTGCATAAATTTATGCATATTTGTTCTGTTTTCTGTTGCGTATATTGTGGTCTCTAGTTATAAATTTAGCACCAAGTTTATTTATTTGAAAGCACTTCTTTTTAAATATATTGTTATATATAAATTCACTTATGTCTAGTCTATATCATACTTACCAATGGATGTGGTACCATCCTTTTACTGATGTTTTTTATTTAGACGTTAATAACTGGTTTAAATTAAAAGTCAAACTGTAACACTTGGGTTTTAGATTTTTGGCTGATATGATGGATAATACAACTCTTATCAGAAATGTTGCATTAGTTGGTCATCTACATCATGGCAAAACTTCATTTGTTGATTGTCTCATTAGACAAACACATCCTACTTATCAGGACAACGAAGAGAAAAATTTACGCTACACAGATATATTGTTTACGGAACAAGAAAGGGGATGCTCAATCAAGTCCATTCCTGTTACGTTGCTTTTGCAGGATATAAAAAACAAAAGTTATCTCATGAACATATTTGATACACCAGGTAAGTCACGTATGGTATGGTAGGCTATAATTTCACAAATATATTCACGAATATTGACTATTTTACTTTTATTTGCCACATTTCTGAATAATTGGACTAATGGAGTCTGTGTCCAGTCATTTCTCGTTATATGTGCGAGATATTTAAGCTTATTTGCTGAAATAAAAATATGATTTTTCCACTCGTTCGACGTTGGTTCCGTTTATTAGAAGGTTCTCGTTATTTCTTCGAGTTTTTGATATTCTCATAAATTTCGTCTTCTTGACGTTCATTGTTACACCATACTCTTTTCTATACTCCGCTATTCTGGTCACCAGTCTCTTAAGATCCCCAATATTTTCGACTGAGATCACAGTATTGTCCTCATATCTAATGTTGTTAATAGGAACTCCATTTACCTATATTCCAGCTGTTTTACCCTCAAGAACGTTTTTCAGGATCTCTTCGGATTAGGCATTAAAAAGAATTGGCGACAATACCCATCCCTGTCTCACTCCACATCTAATTTCAATTTCTTCTGACAGCTGTTAGGTAACACATACTTTTGCTCGCTGTTTATGGTATAAATTTGATATGATCCTGAGGTCGTTGTAGTCCATCTTCTTTGATTTCAGGACATTAATTAATTGTTTATGTCGTACTTTATCGAATGCTTTATTATAGTCAATAAAACATGCGTATATATCTTGATTGACGTCCAGGCATCTTTGTATCGGTATATTAAGTAAAAAAAGAGCTTTACGCGTTTCTAGGCCTTTGCGAAATCCAAATTGTGTATCACTAACGTCTATGTCCAGTTTGTGATATATTCGGTTATGGATGACTTTTAATAGTAACTTTAGCACATGAGACATCAAGCTAATGGTGCGGTAATCGCTGCATTCTCCTGCGTTTTTCTTTTTGGGGAGACAAATAAAAATCGACGTTAACCACTCTTTGGGTAATATGTCTGAACTATAAATTGGGTTCAAGAGTGTCACTAAAATATCAGTGTGCTTGTCATCTAGAAATTTTAGGATTTCTATAGGAAGCATGTCAGGTCCAGGGCTTTACCCACTCTTCATTGTTTTTAATGCGTGTAATATTTCTTCTTTTGTAATATATGGACCTATTTCTTCTCACAGTAAGTTCTATGTGCTCCAGATCTCCTCTTTCACCATCGAACAATTCGTCGATATATTCTACCTATTTTTGTACTTTCTCGTCCGTATGTGTCAGAGTAGTCCCGTGTCTATCCAGAATTGCACGAGTGGGATTTTGTTTTCTTAGTCCTGCCAGTTCTTTAACTTTCTTGTGTAGGTTAAACAGATCATATTTTTCTTCCGTTCTTCAGCTTCTCCCGTTCAGTTGCACTCATACAGTCCTCGAAGACATACCGTCTCAGGACTAGCAACTTCAACGTGGAGTCATATGTCGCCATGTTACCTAATCTATAATCTTAAATTATTATAACGTATTTTTAAAACTAAATGTAATTAAACATCTGTTAACGGGTTTTTACCCATATATTTAATCTTGGTGGCTACATTCATGTACTCCTAGACACTGATGATGGAACATGGTTTCCGAAAACGTTATGTCTTTTTAACTTAGCCCGTTTGGGCCTTAAATATATACCTATTACAAAGGATTTTTAATTAGATCATATTTATTTTGAAGGTCTTCGATCTCTTTGCATTTCTCTTCAAATTATTTTTCTTTTGCCTGCTTGATCATCTTCCTGATCTCGTGGTTTATCTCTCCGTTGTTCCATCATATTGAGTATCTCGTCATTCATCCATTCTTCCTTTCTCCTTGCGGAAGTCTTTAGTATTTCTTTACAGGGTTCCAGTAGACAATGTTTTAGTCGATCCCAGTACTGGTCAATATCCTTGGTGTTTGTGTTAAATTTGCTGCAGTTCACATGCAGCTCATATTGGAGGTATTCTTCTACTTTAGTTTTTTTTTAAGTTTTCTTGTGTCTATTGTAGGGATTCTTTGATGTCTTTTAATATTTTTAAAGGTGAGTGTAATCTTGGCGATAAGTGAATTGTGATCTGAGGCCACGTCTGATCCAGGATATGCTTTCACGGCTTTAACAGCATCACTGTATCTTCCATTGATCATAATGTAGTCTATCTGGTTCCTGACTACTTTCTCCGATATATCTGCGGCCGATGACCATGTATACCGTCGTCTGTTTGGTAAGTTGATGTGTTTGTAATAATCAAGTTCTGCTCTTGACAGAATTGTAACAGACGTTCCTCTCTCGTTTCGATTTCCCAGACCATAGTTTCCTATACAATTTCCGCTTTGTCCCTTTCCAAATCGTCACATGCATTATATAGCGGTTTGTGGACGACAACGTCCAGCTTCTCAAATCCAAGAAAGCGAGTCGTTTGGGAATTGATAAAATCGTCCAAGTGAATTTGACTTTCGTCGAACATCACGTTAAACAAGAAATCTAGATTTTCGTACAACATGGCCATAAATCATACACAATATTCAATCCTAATACACCTTATTATTTATAGCAGCAAACGAATTGTAGGGGATGTAAGTTAAATATTATTTGAATTTCACGTAGTGTAATTTCACAAAAAATAGCGTCCGTATCGTAACGTTGATGTGATGAGACTCTGAGTGTCAACCTCATTGTGTCCGCAACTACCAAGAGTCCCTCTCAAGGGGTGTAAAATGAAGGTCGGGTATAACTTGACCGAAAGTGTATTATACGGGGTTGCTCGAAAGTGTTAACACGAATTAATTATAAAAAGTGATAGAACGGATACGACTTATTTTTATTTTTGTAGGTCATGTTAATTTCTCTGATGAAGTAACTGCGGCCATGCGATTGTGTGATGGTGTTGTACTTTTTGTTGACGCAGCAGAAGGTGTCATGTTGAATACTGAAAGACTCCTTAAACATGCTGTACAAGAGCAATTGCAAATTACCATTTGCATAAACAAAATCGATAGACTTGTTTTGGAACTTAAATTGCCACCTCAGGATGCATACTATAAATTAAGGCATATTGTCGAAGAAATTAATGGTTTGTTAACGTGAGTAGACTAACTTTTTATAGCTTCTGATTTTATATGTGTAGACAACCAATTTTTTGTGTTTTTTTTTGTCTTTTATTAATTTTATTTGAGGTAACTTTATTTACTATATTTTTTAGGTTGTATTCAGATGATGCTAATCCTCAAATTGTATCACCAGTACTAGGTAATGTTTGCTTCGCTAGTTCACAGTATGGAATATGTTTTACTCTTAAGTCGTTTGCAAACATTTATAACTTGCACTATGGAGATGTCAATATTGAAGAATTCTCAAAGCGATTATGGGGTGACATTTATTTCAACACTAAAACGTAAGTTAATGTGTTATAACAGTATAACATCATCAGTTTATTAAATAATGAATTCTTAATATCTACAGGGGCACATCAATTTTTGAACGTAAGCTCTTTGGATTTTTGAAAAGTCAGTAAAATTTTTTAATGGGACATACCCTATGCCTACGCCCTTTGGTTTTAAAATATCATTTATGATGAAATCATCATAAATGACATGTGTTGAAATTATTTATCATTAGTAAAGAATTAAAATATTTAATGATTTAATGATAATGATTTATTTGGTTGAATTACGTTTAAATAAATACTGAAAATGTCTTTTTTTTAAAGAAACATTGCCTCATCCTCCAACAGGTTATTAGCGGCGTTACTCAATAAACAAAACTTTAAATCTGATACAAAATATTGATTGACCTTAGGTAATTTAATAAGTTTTTTTCGTGACAGTTTTCTCCTAATAAATCTGGTAGAGTATTTGGTATATTATTTATTAAATGTTCTCTATGGTATTTTGGAAACTCAATTAACAAATGGACGACGGTAAGAGGCGTAGCACATAGGTCGCACAGGGGGCGTTCACTCGCCGAAAGGAAATATGAGTGTGTGATCTTAGTGTGTCCTATACGTAGGCGCGTTAGAAATGTTTGAATAAACCGTGTACCTGCACTAGTTTTCCACTGTCGTGTATCTGGTTTTAGCGATCTTAATTTAGATTGCGATAGAAACCATTCGCGCTGCCACTGACCAATCTCTTTTTGTTTAAAAAATGTTTTGAGATCTTTACATACACTCTCACGCACTCAATTCCTATATGCGATGGGATCCATATAAATTTAGGGGTTATGTGGTTTTCTTGGGCGATTTGTAGTTCAGTTTTTATTAGTTGCTCCAGGGGCTGTTTATGATACAAATGCTGTATTTCAAGAAGAGAGCTGAGCGAGTCGGTGAGAAACAGAGGTTTTGAAATTCTTGAGAGGTTTGCATGTTTTAGGGCACGGTACAAAGCAAACAATTCAGCGGTGAAAACACTTGAGCTAGGCGGTAGTTTAAATTTGAAAGTAGACGTTGGAGTAACAAATGCACAACCAATGCCATCATTAGATTTAGAGGCATCGGTAAAGATATTTGTACAATTAAAGTAGTCTCGCTCAAGAATCTCGTTTAGTTTGTTTTTGATTATTATGTTGTTATTGCATTTTTTGGAGAACTCTATTAGAGAGGTGTTGCAATTTGGGATGCTTAGATATTACAGTGAAATACATTTGGGATTGTTGTGTCAAGATTATTCAGGATGGATCTTACTCGTGTGTAATAAGGTTTTCTAGTACGAGGTTTATTAAAGAGAAAGTCAAGATTATTTTTAGAAAAAGTCTTTTCAAAGAGTGGATGATTCTTATTAACAGCTACAGAAGAAGCGTGTGGAAGTGTTAAAAGTGTCCGCTTATACTGCAATGATGGTTCTACAGTTTCAGAATATAAGCTTTCTATGGGTGAAGTGTGAAAAGCTCCGAAAACGATCTGAAGTGCAGCATTGTGGATTGTATCTAACCGTTTTAGGGTACTCTTGATTGCGGAGGCATAAACAATTGAACCTTAATCGAGTTTGGATCTAATTAGTGTTTTATACAAGAGTAGTATACCCAGATACGATTTGATACGGTTTTAAGCAAATTGAGTCTTTTGTTGCATGTTAGCGCCAAGTGTTGTATGTGCTTTTTCCAGGAAAGTTTTTGATCCAGCCACATACCAAGGAATTTCACGTAGTAATGGATGATTTTTTCGTAAACACCATACCAGTTGTCTTTGTAATGGAGAATTTGAAGCCTATACTAGCTGTCCAGTCATCTAGTTGGGTTAAAAATGTCTGTACATAGATTCTTTTTGTGCTTCTTTAATATACATCACTAAATCATCGGCATAGAGGCGAGCTTTAAGAGGTTTATGTAATTTGTTTAATATGTTGTTTATGGAAACTGCGAATAGGGTAGGACTAAGTACTGAGCCTTGTGGGGTACCGTTTTCTGCAGTATAAAAATCGGAATAAATGTTATTAACTCTTACTTGTAAGGAAAAGTATTTTAAGAAATTTTCGATATACGCTAAGCAGTGTCCTCTAATATTGGATGCGTGCAATTTTTTAATGATGTTGAATCTCCAACATGTATTGAAGTCTTTCTTTAGATCGAAGAAAATAGCTATACACATTTGATTCATTGCTAACGCTTCTTCAATATCACTTTGTAAGTCTACGATATTGCCAATTGCTGACCGGTTACGTCTGAAGCCGTTTTGCTCTGGTAAGAAGATCAAGTCGAGACTTTCTGGATTTTAAAAACGGCAAAATTGTGGCTTTTGCCCATATAGACGGATATTGTCGTTGCTGCCAAATTTGATTGAAAATTTGCAGTAGATGTTGTTTTGCTAAGATTGATAAATGCTTTAGGAATATATATATATATATATATATATATATATATATATATTATATATATATATATATATATATATATAAGGTTCTTGAACTCCTAAATGGAGCATATAGCTTCAGTGAAAAACGCGCCACCGGGTTCTATTTTGCGCTAAGGCCTTCACCTCATTCCAAGACTTTCCTTGTTTTCTTATCTCGTCCATGATGGATCTTCTCCAAGTTTGTACTGGGCGACCTTGTTTTCGTTTTCCTTGGGGATTCCACTCTAGGGCAGTTTTTGCAATACTGGAGTTATTTTTTCGGAGTGTGTGACCGATCTCACATGCTTTAGGAATACAACAGGAATATTGTCGGGTCCTGGACTTGAGTTTTTCATATCTTGTAAGGAGTTATTTAGTTCTGTAATGGTAAGAGGTTGAGAGGTTGAGGATTACAAAGAAAAGAGATGAACGATAAAAAAGAAACATGGGCGGACTACTTTCGATCCCTATTGTAAGGTATCTCTTGATGGTTTTGAATCTTTTGCTATTCGGGCTATTTTGTCTTCTGTCCATTCTCGTGACATGCTGATTCCATTTCGTCCTCTCTGTCTTCCGCATCGAACTATACAGCTATTTATGTTTTAGGTAATATGCATATTTCCGTTTTTTATTCTATCAAATAAATAATATTTTAAGTTACAGACGAAATTTTAGAAAATTAAATTACACTATAATTTTTTAGGAGAAAATTTACAAAGAAAGCCCCACACAATTCAGCTCAAAGAAGTTTTGTTGAGTTTATTTTAGAACCTCTCTATAAGATATTCGCACAGGTTGTGGGAGATGTGGATGCCTCATTGCTTGATGTACTAGACGAATTAGGAATAAAGCTTACCAAAAACGAAATGAAGTTGAACATTAGGCCATTGTTACGGTTGGTGTGTCAGAAATTTTTAGGAGACTTCAGTGGTAAGCATCTTATTTGCATATATTTAGTCCAGTCTACCAGTTAAAATGTGTTATAGTCCTTCCAGAGATCTAGGGAGTCATTAATATCTATTATCGATAAGTGTCTACCGCAAGGTAGCGAGGATCGCCTCTGGAAAGGATCGTACTTTTATTTTCAATTTGCATTACTTATTTGATTGTTAGGTGTGTTTAAAAGCCGGTCTTTACCATTGTCTACTACAGTTATAATAGTTGCAAAAATATTTACATACACTGCATTCACATATTTACAACACTTTATCATTTCTATATAAATGCTACAAATGCTACATTTGGTCAGTCCTCTTATACGGTGTCGAAGCATGGACATTAAAAATATCCACCATTAATCGTCTGGAGGCCTTTGAAATGTGGCTGCACAGACGTATACTAAAAATTCCATGGACGGCAATGCTGACAAATGTGGCAGTCCTTGAGAGAGCAAATGCTGCTCGCGAGCTGCTTGATAACATTAAATGTAGAAAGATGGCCTATTTTGGGCACGTAGTAAGGGGAGACCGATATAATATTCTTCAACTTATTATGATGGGTAAAATCGAAGGACTCAGAGGAATTGGTAGAAAGCAGGCCTCTTGGTTGAAGAATATCAGAGAGTGGACAAGTATAAAGAAAGCTGAGCTGAATTCTTTAGAATAGCTCGAGACAGAGACAGTTCCGCTATGTTAATCGCCAACGTCAAGGGGACTTGATAGGGCACGTTAAGAAGAAGAATATAGAGTATAAAAAGAACAGAGGCAAAAATACTTTAGAAAATGATTTTCAAAATTGAGGTGTGTCTAAAAGCTAGTTTTATAATCGTTATCATCTGAATTTAAAAATATGCGGTGAAGAAAGTGGCAGTCTTAACACAAAGACCAATGAAGACAGTGTGGTCAATAACAAAACAACCGATAGTAAGTAGTAGAAAAAGAAAAGACTTTGGTATGTTTAGGAAACTAGACCGGAGTGATTTGGACATTAGAAGAAAAATTTATAACATATATGCATAATAGATGATTCCCACGTTAAAAACCATCATGCATATGTTGCAGAAAGTTGACACATAAATCAAGTGCTGCAGTAAGACCGTACGGCAATGTCTTCTAAAAAACGGCTTTAAAATAAAAACGATCGATAAACGCCAAGCGATTATTGAATCTGCTTATCTACAAATATGGAGGACGGAATTTTTAATTCAAATTCATAAATACAGAGAAAGTGGAAGAGAAATTGTTTATCTGGATGGGAAGTGGTTTGACACCAATGACGTTCCAAAATATGCTTGGGCTGATTCTTCTTGTCGCTGGGTGTCACTACCATTTTTAAAAATTCCATAATTAGTGACAAAGAACATATACTAAACAGGTGTAAAACAAGAAGAAATTAGAGAAGCTATTTCAAAACTGAAAAATAACAAAGCCCCTAGCTTGAACAATCTTCCTGTCGAACTCTTTAAAAATGGTTAACTGAGTTTTAGTCTTTTTAATATAATTTAATCAATTTTCTACTGTTTTTAGGTTTTGTAAATATGTGTGTGGAACATATACGCTCCCCATTAGACAATGCCAAAACAAAAATTGATCATGTCTACACAGGCCCGAATACTAGTAAGGTATATGATGATATGGTAAATTGTGATCAGGAAGGAATACTTATGGTAAATATGATTTTCATTGATTTATTTTGATAACACTTTAAAATTAATAAAAAATAAAACACTTATCACTGGTGCTACATCCTTAAAGTAGAGCCCCGATATTTCCAAATCTCCTTCGCCATTCTGCCCCATTCATTGCAATATTTAGCCATCCTTTACTCCATCCATACAGCTATTTTTATAAGAGTTATCAAGTCTTTTTACGAGTTTGTATTGATCGTATATACAGTGTGTTCTTCTCGTGAATTCTTATGCCAGTTGGAGTTATGCCTTATTAGGTCAGTTGGAGTAATGGTTTGGGGGCTATTGCCTATGGTAGCCAATCACCACGTGGGCTTATTCCAGGCAATATGACAGCTGCGCGTTATGTTGATGATATCTTACAAACCACTTTACTGCCTTATTTCGACGGCCGTCGAGACGTCCTTTTTCAGAAAGACCACGCGCGTCCCCATATTGCTCGTTAAACTATGGTCTTTCTCCAAGAAGCTGGCATTAATGTTCTGCAGCGGCCGCCCGTGCTCCGGATTTAAAGCCTATCGAACATGTATGGGATATGATGAGAAGGAGACTGTCTACTTTGCAGCATCCTCCACAGACTCTCCACACAGACACAGTTACACACCGATCATCTCATTTTGTCAATGCCATAGAATAATAAACAATCAGAACGCCCACTATCCATGGAAAATTAAGTACGCGCATCTCCTTCGCGCAGACGTTCCGCCTTGTTTTAGAGGGAACCAGTGTTGTTTATGTGGTGTGCATAGAAAAATTAACCCGGTTTAATTGACTTACGGCAATCATGGACATACTATACAATTATATTAACATTTTTAAATATAATAATATATAATTAAACATAAATATAAACAATTATATATCCTCACAAATCATATGTCTGTGTTATGTGTTTCCTTCTAAAACATGGCGGGCGTGCTGAAAAACTTCAAAGGCGGCATCTGAGAGTGGACATTCTGATTGTTTATTATTCTGTGTCAATGCCTAGACATATACAGGATTGTATTCAGCTACGGGGTCGCCAAACACATTATTAATTTTTTTTTATTGTTAATAAAAATTCTTGACAACGTTATAGTTTTATTCTTGATGCAAGTCTACCATGCTGCCCAAAAATTAAGTTCAAGAAATTATTCCTTCTGGGTGTAACACTTCTAATGTCACTAAGTATATATTATATTATAAGTTGTGTTGCAATAAAATGTTTTTCTATTCTACTTTTTCTATTAATATCTATATTTTAGGTTCACAGTTCGAAAATGTATCCAACAGAAGATTGTACATTTTTCCAAGTTCTTGGAAGGGTCATGAGTGGTACTCTACATGCAGGTACAGATGTTCGCATATTGGGAGAAAACTATACCATACAAGATGAAGAAGATTCTAGGATATTGACAGTGGGCCGTTTATGGATTTATGAATCAAGGTATACTAAAAAATTTTTTAATTGAAGGTGATTACTTGGCAACATCGTACTTAATGAAGCCCTTAACGATAACTTTTCAACGAAATCGTACTCAAATTATCAATTTTGCAGAGGCGTACAAAAAAAAATAATTATTTATTTAAACATAAGTAATTACGTAAAAATTAAATCTAAGACCGATTTAATTATTAAATTATCATGTCTCTTTTAACAGGTATCTTATAGTTGTCTAACAAAATTAACAAAAAAATTAACTAACAAAACAAAAGTAAAATTTTATTCTTATTAGAGAATATCTAATACAGAACTTCAAAAAACAGAAAACTTTGGAAAATACTTATTTTTTTTTCATTAGACTAAAAACAATCTACAATTATAATTACACGTCATTACACATCATTCTCTATTTATAGAATGGCTGTGTGCTGTAAACGTTATATTTGTTTTTTTTAACTTAATTTGAAAGTTTCCTTGTGTTTATTTGTTGTAAGCTAACCTATTATCATGTGAATGCGTTTATATAGTAGTGCATTTGTTTATTTCAGTAAATTCTCGAAATATGAAATGAAGATGGCATTAACTACTAAAGAGTTAATAGTTTGTTAGAAGAAGACTCAGATTGTGAAAATACTGACTCACTTAATGTGGTTTATTTGCCGCCGAGATTAGATTAGAAAGTTTCTGATGTATAAGACATTTCTCTTCTTCTTCCTTCTAGTATGTAGGCTTTAAAACCTGTTTTTTCTTCAATTATAGCCTCCTAAATTGTTTTGATGTTGATTGATGTTTTTTATATTGCATGCTCTTCTTATGTTTTTGCTTCTCTCTCTATTCAACAGACTTCTCCCTGATATTCGTCGGAGTATTTTTGATCTCTGTTGTTTCTAGCAGTCGTCTCGTTTAGATGTGTCAGGTCTTGTCTTCGCCGTATATGTTAATATAGGTCTAATCCTGTGTCTTGTCTTGGGTGTTTGTTCTTTCAAATTGTGTCATTAAGAGAACCCGCCGCTTTACTTGCTTTTAAGCTTTGCTATCGTACTTCTTCTTCAACATCTCCGTAACTAGTTATATCTATTGCCAGATATCAATACCTTGCTTCCGGCTTTATTATTTTCCCATCAATTTCGATTTTACACCGTAGTGGGTATTTAGATGTTGTCATACATTTGGTTTTTTCTGCTGATATTATCATATTGTATTTCTTAGCTGTTGTATTAAAGATATGTGTTACTCTTTGGAGCTCGTCTTCTGTCTCGGCGATTAATGCGGCGTCGTCTGCATAACATAATATTTGGATTTCTTTGTTCCCCATTCTATAGCCATGACCTTTACGTACTGCTTGTATTATTTCGTCCATCATTATATTAAAGAGAAGAGGGCTTTACGAGTCACTCTGTCTGACTCCGCTTTGTACTGGTATACACTGTGTTAGTTTTCCATTTATCTTTGCCTGTATTCGATTATGGAGGTAGATGCTTTCGATGGTTTGTATAATATTGATTGGTATGTTTCTTTTATACAGTAGGTGTAAGACGTCTTCGACTTGGATGCGATCGAAAGCCTTTGTCAGGTCTATAAAACATAGGTATGCTGGTTTATTTTACTCGATGGCCTTTTCTGTTATTTGTCTTAGTACAAATACGGCGCCTACGCAGGATCATCCGGATCTGAATCCTTGTTGTTCATCTGATAAAGTTGTTAGTTTATTGATTTTGTTGGTTAGGACTTTTGTGGTAAGCTTAAGTGCGGTGTTCAGTAGATTTATACCTCTATAATTGTTGGAGTGTTATTTATCTCCTCTCTTGAACATTGGTATGATTATGCTGTTTCTTCATACGTCTGGTATCTTGCAATGTTATATTAGTGCAATATTAGTTTTTGTATAAGTTTTGTCATCTCTAGGGTTATACTTTCTCCGGGTATTTTAGAAGCTCGTTGGTTATTCCGTCTGGTCTTGGTGACTTTCTATTTTTGAGTGAATTTATGACTATTTCTACTTCCTGAAAACTGATTTCTATTTCGTGTCTTAATTCAGGTACGTTATTGTGTTGATTATTATTTTCCTTTGCTTTAAACAGTTCCGTCAGGTATCTTTCCCATTCGTTTGCTGGTATATTATTGTATTCCTTGAATAATTGATGATAATATTATTTGTGAAGAATCAATAAAATCGGATATTGCAGGTACATATAAAATACAAGTGATTGGGCATTTTGACGATTCTGATTATATTTCTCTGAACCACAGATAAAACGTTCAAAGAAAAATCCAGGCAAAAATAGTAAATCCAAATTTATCTCAAGTTGTAATAACGGATATTCATTCGTGCTCAGTAGTAATTCAACATCAGTCTGATTGATATTTAGACAATATAAAAACCAACCATGTAGGCAAGTCATATATTGAAGCTTTTTCACTCTTTTTGATAAAAAAGTAATTGAGAGCATTCTATATTTTACAAATATTTATGCATCGTAGAATAACCGTCACAATTTCGAAATGAATAACATAGATTTAAAAAAAAATATTAGCATATGTATATTATCTGGTTTACACTCTGCTTCAAGTTGATATGCATTGGTCAAAGGATGAGGATAAAGAAGTGCATATTATAAGAGAAAGCATGAGCCGACATAGATTTATATTTATAATAGTGAAGAAACCGCTACATCAGTGTCACTTAGTACATGGACGTCAATCTAAACTTGCTTTAATTTACATTATGTTTCTTTATTAAAAATTGTAATTTATTACATTTATTTATTATAAAAATTACTTTTTGTAATTTAGTACATCTGCCCAAATGGGAGTTCCATATAGGAGGGTCGACTGTAGGGCTGCCGTTCTTTCTTCCGCCCTCTGAACTACATTTGCCAGGTGTTCTGTGAACCTTAGGCCTGTGTCAATCTTTGTTACATAATAGGTGTGTGTGAATCTGTGTTAAAAACGCTCTGTCAAATAAACCAAAATTTATTTTTTTTTCAAAAATCCCAATGCATGTAGTATAACAAATGAGACACACTTATTGGCACACAAGCTTTAAACCCCTGTTTTGAAAAACTGACCAAGTTTTGTATTGTGTCACTATTGCATACATCCGACGATATATTTCTAACGAAAAATAAAGTATGAGTAAGGTGTACAGTTAATCCGATACTATCTTAGTGATCTTACCAAAAAATATTTTTTAAATTTCAGGTACAAAGTGGAATTGAATCGAGTACCAGCAGGTAATTGGGTTCTCATAGAGGGAATAGATCAATCTATAGTCAAGACAGCTACAATAACAGACTTATCAGTTGCTGAAGACTTGTATATATTCAGACCTTTAAAATTCAATACACAAAGCATTATTAAAATCGCAGTAGAACCAGTAAATCCATCGGAGTTACCAAAGATGTTAGACGGTCTCCGAAAAGTTAATAAATCTTATCCACTTTTAACAACAAGAGTAGAGGAAAGTGGTGAACATGTGGTATTGGGTACGGGAGAGCTGTATCTAGATTGTGTAATGCACGATTTGAGAAAAATGTATTCTGAAATTGATATCAAAGGTAAATAAACACAAAATCCATTAACACCTTGACTGCGTAACGGAAAATCTGTACTTTGTCCTTCTCTACGTTACATATCGACGGTGATATATAAGTACACTTAAGTTTTGTACGTTACAAATCACCGGGAATATGTAAGTAAAGTGACAAATTTTGACATCTCTGAGCAAAAGTATCTAATTCTATCAAGCCAAAATAATAAATTATGGAACTAAAATAAATTAACTTTATTCTGCTTGTTTTGTAGCTCAATACATATCAAAATAAATGTTTACCATAAGAAAATAATAACAAACGAAATATGATTTTTTTTAATAACTATTCTAAGAAAAACTTACTCATGGTGTTTATTAAAACAAGATAAACAAAATCCAGTCATATTTGGACAATTATTACAAAAACTTGTTACACGACGAACTTTTTTGTCAGCTTCTCTGCTGTTTAAAGTTGTTCGTAGTGTATGGTAACATCCTTTACATGGTTTCCTCTTTTTCCACCTGGACCATCAGGTTTTACAAACGTATGAACCCTTTTTCTCATACCATCTACAAGGCGTTGTACTATTTCATCAGATTTTCAAGATTTTCAACTAACTGCTTCCTGAATTCCAAAATTCCAATCTTAGTTTGAGCAACCATATTGTAGACCACCCATGCATTAACTAATGAAGTACCCAAAATTAATTCAAACATGACTTTTCTACAATAAATTAGCAATGTAAAATGCTGAACAATTTGACAAACTATATAACTTACCTATACCACTTCAGAGATTTTCTAACTGATGTATGGTAAGAAGACATTTGATCGCTAAAATCTACCCCCTTTTTAGATTTGTTATAGTTGATGACGCACCGCGGTTTCGAAATTTCATCACCTTGTCTATTCTTCTTCTTCAGATGCAAATCCATTAATGGATGTTAGCGATCACATTTTCCATTAATTCTCTATTTATTGCAATATGTATCAGAGATTGTATGTCGTTAATCCCTGTCCATTGCCTTATGTTTCGGAGCCAGGACATTTTCTTGCGTCCCATTCCTCTCTTGCCTTCAATTTTACCCTCGATTATAAGTTGGAGGAACTGGTATTTTTCATTTCGCATGATGTGACCTAGATACGCCGTTTTCCTTTTCTTGATGGTTTAGAAAAGTTGGCGTTCTTGGTTTATTCTTTTAAGGACATCTATATTTGTAATTTTCGCTGTCCATGGTATTTTTAGGATACGGCGATAAAGCCACATTTCGAAAGCTTCTAATCTGTTTATATCCCTCGTTTTGAGTGTCCAGCCCTCTACGCCATATAGCAGCACTGACCATACGTAGCACTTAGTAAACATTAGTCTCAGTTGAAGATGAAACTCTGAACAAGTCAGTACTTTCTTGAATTTTACGAAAGCTTGTCGAGCTTGCTCAATGCGACATTTTACTTCCCTGTCCGATGCCCAGTCTTCAAAAAGCCACGATCCCAGGTATTTAAATTTACTCACTCTTTCAATGGACTTAGTATTCAGTGTTATGGTGGAGTTTTCAAGTGCATCTAAGTTTCTGGAGATGATCATAAATTTGGTCTTTTTATATTTGGTCTTGTCTATTAGGTTTTCATAAAATAGTAAAACTTGTAAGGTACTTATTATTATGATGTCGCATCATGACTAGGATCACTGGATATCATTAAGACTGGTCGTGTATCAAACCATTTTATTATTTTTACATCATTATATTCTTGTCCAATAACCTGTCCTTTTTTAGCTTTTGACATATTTCTTTTGGTATTCCTCTTCTATTGCTTCTCAAGGTTTCACAATAAATCATTTTTTTCTTATATAAATCTTCGACTATCGGTATGCTTGAGTAAAAATTATCTCCATAAATGGTCCTCTCCTCTTTTGGCTCAACTATTTTCAAAAGTTCTTTTACTATTGTATGTGAATACCTTGTGGTGCAATTGTATCTCACTTTCCAGCATACACATTTATATTAAAAGTATATCCATTTGGAGAACATAGTTTATATAATTTGACTCCATATTTATCACATTTGTTAGGGATGCACTGCCTAAAATGTAGTCTGCCCCTGAAAGGCACCATTGTCTCATCAATAGTTAGTACCCCTCCAGCGTTTAGAATATTATTATATTCTTTTACCAAAATGTTTAATATGTTTCTAATTTTGCTTAGTCTATCACCAGGTGGTGCATCCTCATTATTGGCAAAATGTATGAATTTTAAAAGTAGTAATGTATTATGAAACATTTTATCTTTTGACCAATAAGAGTTTATGAATGGCACTTTGTAATCCCCATAACAATAAAAATAGCGAAAACTTACGAATTTCATTTATATCTGTATCACTCCAACTTTTAACTCTTGGCTTCTCGGCATCCTTTGTTTATTTGTTGAGTGGCATAACCATTATTTTCTGTGACAATAATGTCGAGAACTTCATTGTTTATGAAATATTTAAAAATATAAGCACGACCTGTAATTTCGGTTAGATCTATGTTATCGTTAATTTTACAATTCTCAATATACATCTCAAACGGATAACAGGAAATTATTGTAATTTTCCAAACACTAGAAATATTTTCCGAAATATGTGTAATTTCATCCTCATTATCAGACTCCGAGCTCTCATCAGTCTCTGATTGTATACCAGTAGCTTGTGCTTGTTCGTCAGAAAACGCATTGTCGTAAAGCGATGGATCAAAAGTACGATCTAAGACAGAATCGTCACTATCAAAAGGATCAAAATCTGATGAATATACTTCCCGTTCTAAATTAACTTGTTCGGCTTCATTTGTTCGCGATGATGCTAACAATTTGTCCACTCTGGGTTAAAAATCTGATCAAGATCCTTGCCCTTCCAAATCAGCTTGATCGTCAGTAACTACACTTCTCCGCGATAATTCTAATACTTTTTCCGCTCTATAACCTTCCATGGCAAATAGTAAATCACAACTAAACGTACGGGTCTAAGAACAACAATACTGTAATCCCTCCAAACATGCCTATAGACACGCTTGTACATATCTCCCGAGATATATAACGCCCCACAAGAATAAAATATTCTTCTGGTGCGTTACATATCACCGGGGATATGTACTTTAATATCTGTATAGTTGGTTGCAGAATTTAAAATTATGTAGCTGGCTACTGGAAACAAAAATCTATTACGAAAAATAACGAAGATACGTACTTCGCACACATATGTCGGTCACCGAATTTGAGCTTAGCACAGAAGTTATACAAGATACATACCGCCGGGGATATATAACGCAGTCAAGGTGTTAAATTTTCTCGAAATTTGTTGTGACGTTGATGTGCAACCCGTCAAATTTAAATATGTCTGTCAGTATCTTCTATATTGTTTATAACTCCAAACTGTTGCCTAATTTTCTTAAATCTTTTTGTTCTTAATGTATGACATCTCAGGTTTTGTTAAATATTCTTTGACAAGTCATAAATTGTAAAATAAATAACACTTATGACGCCATTTTCTTCCAGATTGGTAGTTGTTTTCAAAATTGTAAAAACTTTATAAATATTCTATGCACAAATTCTATTTTCACATAATATTAAATCATTAAATTGACTTCACGTCGAACCTTTGTCGTTAACAGACGTGTTTAATATCTAGCCTAATTACACCTAGTTTTTTGCGATATTATTTATATTCAGTTGATAAAATTGCAATAAAGTGTAGTGTTAATATAAAAATAAATTTGAACTACTTGGAAAAAAACTGTAAGTAGTATTTATTATAATATAATTAAAGATACTTATATCAAAACAAGTTCCTGCTACCGGATTTATCAACTACACAACTTTTGGTACCTCATTACCGATTCTGTTGTGACAAACAGGACCGTCTGAAGAATAGAGGTACCAAAATATGAATAATATTTTTAAAAATGGATGAAGATTCTGTTGGTTCTGTTTCTTCTCCTAACAATAATCAACCATGTTCATATTCCAACGCTGTTACTTCATTTAAATATCCAACCAAAAACCAAGCCATTGTCCTATCTGCTCTCAATGGAATAAAAATAAATGAATACGTGATAGCAATAGGAAATATAGTAAAACCAGAAAATATATTATTTGCATCCCGCATCTCAAATAACAGAATTTGTATTTATCTCTCCAATACCGAAGTCGTCAATACATTGCTGAAGACACATACATCAATATCCATTAATGATTCAGAAGTTGAAGTAAGACGTCTAATTACTCCTGCTACAAGACTGGTCATCTCAAATGTCTGTCCCACCATACCAAACTCAGTACTTGAAGTTGAGCTGAAAAAATTAGGACTTAATACTGTATCCCAGATGACTTTTCTGCGAGTTGGAATGCCGGACACTGCCTATAACCACGTTTTAAGCTTTCGAAGACAAATTTTTATCACTCCTATTGAAAATATCACTATCCCAGATTTCATTACAATATCCTTCGACAACACCAACTATCGAATTTATCTATCCACTGACTTAAATTGCCCTAAGTGTATGTCAAAAGGTCATCGCGAAACAGACTGCCCTGTTCTATCACAATTGACATCAACTGAAACGCCCATTGAATCTCAATCTACAATATCACTTCCGTCTAAACCTCAAAATCTTACAACAGAAGCAGGAAATCCTATTAATAATACCACTAACTTTCAAATAACAACAGAAGATATTCACAACGAAACGACTAAAAATAACAATCCTATTACTTTGAACACTGATGCCTCCCATCAAAAAACAAAGAGACAAATATCTACTGACTCTCCTGAGATACATGAAACCCCACCCGATCCAACAATTTTTACCAAACCCAAAAATACAGTTAAGCGGCCAAAATCATCACAATCTGATATCCTCGAGTCACTTGAATCTATTAAAGGTAAAATCGAATCTAAATACCCGACATTTCCTCTTAAATTTACAGTTCTTTGTGACGCGATATGTAACGCATTAAACTCAAATTATCCTACCCCCATAGTAGAAAATTACACAACCGATATAAGTTCTTTTAAAGAGATACTTCTATTCGCCCACGACCATATTCCTGATCGCAAAATAAAAAATAAACTAACAAGACTTCGAAAAAAGATACAATCCTTAGTTACCGATTCATCCTCGGATATTGAAAGCGATAACTCCCTTTCCCACGTTGTAAAATAAAATGGATAATACATTTATATTACAGTGGAATCTTAATGGTTATTTTAATAATTTAGAATCCCTTAATCTACTTATAAACGATCTTTCTCCTCTTATAATATGTTTACAGGAAACCCACCTTAAAAGTAATAACTTTAATATAAAAAATTATTCCCATTTCCTTAAAAATCGAGACGCAACATATGCTAGTGGAGGTGTTGGTATTTTTGTAAAAAATCACATTCAGACCAAAGAAATTAAGCTACACACTAATCTAGAAGCTGTAGCTGTATCAGTGTCATGCAATATCAACTGCAGACCTATTAACATATGTAACATTTACCTCCCTCATCCAAATGAAAATGTACTTGAAGAATTACATCGCTTAATCGATGATATTCCTTCTCCCAAACTAATACTTGGTGACTTGAATTGTCATAATATCACATGGGGTAGTATAAAAACAGACAAATGTGGTAGACTTCTTCAGAAATTAATAGACAATCAAAATCTAATTTTAATGAATACTGGTAAATCTACTCATTTCAGCTCCCACAATAGTACTTTTTCTGCCATCGATATTTCATTGTGTGATCACACATTAGCTACAAGTTTTTCTTGGAATAGTCTTGATTATCTATATAATAGCGATCATTTTCCTGTAACAATTGAAACCATTTTGCATGATCAACCAAATATTCCTGTTTACCAAAAATGGAAATTAAACTCAGCAAACTGGGACTTATATAGAGATCTATTAAATAATTATCTTACGAACTTTATTCTAGAAGATAGCATAGATTCATCTCTTCATCATTTCAATGATACTATAGTAAAATGCGCTAATATTGCAGTGGGAAAAACAAAACCTTGTAAACGAAAACCAGTACCATGGTGGAGTGAAGAAATAGCCTTAGCTATGAAATCTAGCAAACATGCTTTCAATGTTTTAAAAAGACATAAAACAACAGAAAATGTTATCAATTTTAAAAAACTTAGAGCAAAAACTAAATATCTTATTAAGAAAAGTAAAAAAGAAACATGGTCAAATTATGTCTCTACCATAAATTCATCAACACCTATGACTACAATCTGGAATAAAGTTCGTACATTAAAAGGTGAACAAAACTCAATTCATATTAACACTCTTTATTATAAAAACAAATTAATATCTTCCAAACAAGAAATTAGTAATATTATGTCAGATGTATATAAGAATAATTCAAGCAATGCAAACTTCAATCCCGCATTTTTAGATTTCAAAAATAAACGTGAAATGACAGATATATCTATAATAGATAGTGATAATCCACTAAATTTCCCCATCACATATCAAGAATTTGAAGAAGCTCTAGATAAATCAAAAAACACTTCATCGGGTCCTGATAATATACCAATCATATTTATCAAAAACTTGCCGTACATAGGAAAATTAATTCTCTTAGACATTTTCAATCACATTTACCTTAATAAAAAATTTCCTTCAATCTGGTCTGAATCAACAATTATTCCCATATTAAAACCTTTCAAATCAAAAACTGACCCCCTTTCCTATAGACCAATTTCTCTTACAAATAATACATGCAAACTACTAGAAAAAATTTTAAATAACAGATTAATGTGGTTTCTTGAAAAAAACCAATTATTAAGCCATATCCAAAGCGGTTTCAGAAAAGGCAGATCAACTCATGATGCCTTAGTAGCTATTGACAATATTATATGTGAGTCCTTTAGAAATAACCAGAAAGTAATTGCCATATTTTTTGATATAAATAAAGCATTTGATACTGCATGGAGATACAACATTTTACAAACCATGTCCAATTGGGGTATCCAGGGAAATTTTCTTGCCTTTGTAAAACATTTCATGAATAATAGGATATTTCAAGTACGTGTAAATGGAATTACCTCAAAAACAGAATGTCTTGAAAACGGTATTCCACAGGGCTCAACCTTAAGCCCCACTTTATTCTTAATAGCAATTAATAATATCGCTCAAGAGATAAAGCTACCTTTGAAAGCAGGTCTGTATGCAGATGACTTAGTTGTATATACTAGTAGCTGCAATATTACACTAGCCTCAAACATTTTGCAATCATTTCTGCATAAACTAGAAGACTGGTCCCAAAAGACTGGTTTTACGTTCTCAGGTGATAAATCTCGTTTCATCGTATTCAATAAAAGAAAAACTGATTGCAAAACAACACTTACTCTAAATGGTATCAACCTAGAACAAGTAGAGAGCATTGACTTTCTTGGCCTAAGACTGGACAGTCAGTTAACATGGGCAGAACATATTAAAAAGCTAGTCGTATCCTGCCAATCTAAAATAAATCTCCTTAAAATGCTATCAAATCGATCTTGGGGAGCGGACACCATAAAATTGCTGCATATATACCAATCATTAATCCGAAGTAAACTGGATTATGGTGCAATATGCTATTCAACTGCGAGTAATTATATACTTAAAAAACTAGACATTATACAAAACACATGTTTAAGACTAATTCTGGGTGCTTACCGAACTAGTCCTGTTTCAAGTTTTCAGGTTATCCTAAATGAATCTCCCCTATCAATACGAAGACAACACATTTCTTTAAATTATGCCGCGAGATTGTCTTCCAACCCTAATAACACAAACTATCCACTTCTTTATAAAATATATCCACCTACTCATTGCCATCAACAAATTAAATATCCACCCCTTAAAGAACGTCTAACGAGATACGGTTTTGACATGGAGCAGCTCACACATTCTTACCCTACACAACGAACTATACCTCCCTGGACTATTAATTTTCCCACTATTGATCTATCCCTCACAGCCTATCCAAAGAGTACCACAAATCCCATAATCATTAACAAATTATATCAAGAACGGATATTAGAATACACTGGCCATAACAAGATTTTTACCGATGCGTCAAGAACTGAAAACGGACACGCAGCGGCCTTTATTCTAGGAAAGTCTGAATATGCAGTTCGCATCCCTCAATTCTGCAGCATTTTCACGGGAGAAGCAATCGCCATTTTAAAGGCTTTAGACATGTGTAAGAGTCATGCAAGCTCAGATTTTCTTATCATTACTGACTCTTTATCTGTTCTTCAGAGCTTAAGGCAAATATATCCAGTACATGCTATCCTGCAACAAATACAATTAGCACTTTATCACCTACAAAACAGACACGTGAACGTTACATTTCTCTGGGTACCATCACATACAGGTATCGCAGGAAATGAAAAAGTAGATGAATTAGCAAAGAAAGCTGCTACTGACGAGCAAACTGAAATTATGACTACAATTCCATTCAGTGATATCCAGCTCAATATTAAACAGCACTGTGTAAAAAATTGGCAACAAATGTGGAATTCTACTAAGGCTAACCTTAAAAACGTGAAAACTAGGATTGGCACTAAACTACAATTTCCAGAAAACAGAAGGCAACAAGTGATTATAAACCGACTAAGAATTGGACACACAGCGTTAACTCACCAGCATCTCATAACAAAAGAACTACCACCTGAATGTTCCTATTGTGAATGTCCAATAACTGTTCAACATGTATTGATTGAATGTCCTCTTTATTCCTACGAAAGAGCCATCAACAACGTACCAGAAGAAGCAAAGAAACTTAAAGATATTTTAAACAGTAATGTATCTAATACAATCAAATTCCTTAAGGACATACGTTTACTACACAAAATTTAAGTTATATTATATGTATCTCTTTGTAATTTGTAATTTATTATGTGTAATTTAATACGCAATTTGTAATTAGTAAATTTTTTTTTGTAATAACAACTGTAAAATCTGTAAAACCCGCTAATAACCTTTAATGGTTGATGCGGAAATTCTAAATAAAAAAAAAAAAAAAAAAAAGAAATCATTAAATTTTAAATCAAATTAAACAAAAAAAAGGCTAAATCAGAATACATTGCAACTTTATATTAGTTCATTGCGTTTTTAAAATTGTAGTTTTGTTGTATTTTAGTTGCTGATCCTGTAGTAGCGTTTTGCGAGACTGTAGTAGAAACATCAAGTTTAAAATGTTTTGCTGAAACTCCGAACAAAAAGAACAAGTTAACGATGATAGCTGAACCTTTGGAGAAGGGTCTTGCAGAGGATATAGAAAACGAAAACGTGCAGATCGGTTGGAATAAAAAGAAACTTGGTGAATTCTTTCAAACAAAGTACGATTGGGATTTGCTTGCTGCTAGAAGTATTTGGGCGTTTGGTCCTGATAACACAGGTATGTAAAGGATTATTTTACATTCGTAACATTTAACATGAGTATGTACAAATAACAAAACTGGTAGAAGACAAAGATCCTTGATTTCATGTATATTTAATTTTAGTATGTGGTGAGCCAAAACCCTTACTATTATTATAGTTCTGCGTGTCTGCGTCCTTACTATTTTTATCGTTTCAACTTCTGTCCTAAAATCCCTTTCAAAACACTCCTATAAATACAAAATCAAATATAATCTTATATACTAAAACGCTAAGCCCTTTTCTTGTCCACCACTTTACTCAAAAACCATATTAGATAATTAAAATATTTTTTCGGAATATTATTAGTATTACGTATGAGATTGTCAAGATATACTTTTGGTACAAAAATTCATTTTCGGTTTTGAGATGATGAGATGAAGTTAAAATTTACTTTAAGTTTTAGACCCCACAATGTATATATGGATCGAAAGGTCTCGTCTAGACGAATCTAAATATGTACTTCCGGTTGCATCCGATACCGGAAGTGACCCGAAACGCGCATAAAACGTTAAGATAGAGCAAATCTGACACCGGATTCGTGATCAGCATGCAAAATTAACTGCTAAATGATATCCATGTCGACATTTGATGAACTAAAAATTACATTCCGGTTTTGAGGTCGACTTCCGGTTTCGTTTTTATTAAAAAGTAAAAGTTTACATAATTCCCGGTGCCAAGCAAAAGTTTTCAGAAAATGGAGACATTGTAACTGAAAACATTGTTTTCGACGAAATATTTCGTGATACACTTTTTATTTGCATTATTATTGATGAATGTTATGTAGAGGTAATGGATTTTGGGAACAGCTATGACCTTGAATATTTCAGATAAACTTATGTACTAAATAGGCATAATGCATAGCTCTTGCCAAAATCCAATACATTAATAATATAATTACATATCTTCGATTCTAAAATATTGTAAAAAAATTTAAAGAGTCTGAGTAAGAAAAGAGATTTAGTTATATTCTTTGTGGCATCTTCAAGGTCATAGCTGTTCCCAAAATCCATTAAGTCTATATTATTGCTTATATTGTTTGTATTGATCTCTTATATTCTCGCAAAATTAAAATTTCATTTAAAAAACTCGATGTCGAGTTGGTCCGCTAGTAAGATTCTAACTGCGTTTTTGTGGCATGTCTAAGTTATATATTGTGTTTATATGGGATTAAAGTACTAATATAGATTAGAAGGCTAAAAAAATGATATTTTAGTAGCTCAGAGGCAAAGGTGACTAAGTCACAAAGTGGAGTTCTTGTGATAAATCATGTCAAAGTTAACTTTAAATAAATCAATCATATGAAACCAATAATATCAATCAATCGTGGCTTACTCCCATATAAACACAATATAATACGAATCCGTTGTCAAAATAAGTGTATCTATCCGTGTTTGTGAGTTATTATTAATTTTTTTCAAAACAGGAAGTGAGTATTTCAGTTTTAACAATTTATACGTAATAACTATCCTGAATGGGAATCTGTCGTCAGTTTTTCTCGACATGTTATTACAGTTTTTTTCAATCTAAGACTGAACACATAGACGGACGGACGAACAGGCAAACATATTCTAAGGAATCGTAATTTATTTTCGTATTTTTATTTCGATCTAAAACGGTTTGAGGCACCAGATTGATAGCAGCTGGCAGAGGTAAAAAATTGACAGATATCAGTATATAGACAGATAGACAAGCGGTTTAAGCGCGTCCGCATTCGCTGTAAGCTGACCGTCCTTTTTTGGGAACGATTTCCGAAGTGGAAATCGAAACGTCAAACATTAGTTATTTAAAACTGATTATTATCACAATCACAACCAATAATTGTGGCTTAATCCCATAAAAACATAATATTTAACAATAAATTTTATAATTGATGGATTCGACCGTTACTTGATGGAAATTCATTTTATGTAACAATAAAACACTGAAAACTTTGTTTTCAAGAAGCGAGATATTATAGCTGTTTATATTAAGGTATGTCATTCAGAATTAAATTATAGATTAAATAATATAGAATTTGACATCCTAGATTCTAACGTGAGAATTAATATAGATAATATAATAGATAAAAAATTCAATACACAGTGTAAAAAACTAAACAATCTAATTTCCAATAGTAAAAAACCCAATATTCATTATACAAAAAGTTTTTCGAACCATACTTTTTTCAATAGATTTATAAATTTAACAGATACTAAATTTAGTAACAGTGAGATACAACTTTTAGAGAAAGGATTTAAACACAACTTGCCCCAACATAATAATGAGAGAACTTTAGAATATTTAGGTGTAGAATGTGAAGTAGCGTTAAACAAAACTGCTAACAATATCGAAAAAAGTATAATTGCCAAATCTATTACAGATGTGTGTAGCGAAACTAAGAATTCATGTTACAAAGAGAATAAAACAGCAATTTCCATTAAGAATAAATCAATAGAAAACAACATTGTGTTTACAAAAGCAGACAAAGGTAACACTACTATTGCTATAGATAAAATAGAATATAATAACAAAACAATAGAATTCTTAAATAATCAAAATATTGAAACTTTACACAAAGATCCGACAGAAAAATATCAAAAACAAATTAAGCTAGCGTTAGAAAATTCAAAAGCAATACTAAATCCAATAGAACAGAAATACCTCAATATCATGAACCCACAGCCTCCTAAATTATACTCTTTCATTAAACTACACAAACCGGATCACCCAATAAGACCTGTAGTTTCTTTTTATACAGCTCCGTCATATAAACTTCCCAAAAAACTGTTAGAGATCATTTTAGAACACACTAAATTTTCACCTAAATTCACCATAAAAAATACAATAGAACTAGTTAATAAAATACATTAAAATCGGCAAAGAAAATCAAATAGCCGAAATAAAAAGACGCATACAACTGTCTTGGGGAGCTTTGGGCAAATTAAGCTTTATTTTGAAGAATAAAGATATACCATATGTCTAAAACGTAGAGTTTATGACAAATGTATCTTGCCTGTAGCTACATATGGACTGGAGACCATGGCCTTCACAAAGAAAACCTTAGAGCAGCTCAGTACAACCCAAAGAGCAATGGAGAGGGCCATGCTAGGGATTAGTTTGAGAGACAGGATTCGAAATAACGTCATTCGTGAAAGAACAAAAATTACTGATGTCTCAGAACGTATTGCAAGGCTCAAGTGGCAATGGGTCGGACACGTTGCCCGAGATAATCCCGAAAAATGGACACAAAGATTAACAAACTGGAGACCAAGAGAGAACAGGCGAGGAGTAGGCAGACCGCAGAAGAGGTGGACAGACGATATCAAACAAGTCGCGGGCAAGCAGTGGATGAGAATTGCCAAAAGTAAAATCGATGGAAGCAAATGGAAGAGGCCTATGTCCAGCAGTGGACGAACACTGGCTGAAGAAGAAGAAGAAGAAATAAAATACAACATTTTCAATTACCTAACAACTCCAGATTAATTTCATTTGACGTAAAAAATCTTTTTCCTAGTATCCCTCCTACAGAAACTTTTATTCTAGTAAAAAACCTTTTAGACCAAAATAGTACAAATCCAATAATTACATCTGAAATCTTACATCTTCTTGAAGTTTGCATAAACCAGGACTACTTTGAATTTAATAATAAAATATATACAAATAACAGTGCAGGACTTATAATGGGTAATCCTCTAAGCCCATTGCTATCAGATATTTTTATGGATCATCTAGAGACAAAGATTTCAAAACATCCCGTATTCAAACAGTTTTTATATTGGTGGAGATACGTAGACGACGTACTGGTATGTTTCACAGGAACTAACAGGCAACTCGACCAATTTCCATCGTATATTAATTCACTTCATAGACATATTGAACTTACAATAGAAACAGAACAAAATCAATGCATAAATTTTTTAGATTTAAAAATGAGCAGACTTCCAAACAAACATGACTTCTCCATATTTCACAAACCTACCCATACTGACACGACTCTACACAATTCATCATCCCATCCAACACAACATAAACTGGCAGCTTATCATAGTATGTTACATAGATTAACAGAAATTCCGATGTCAAAAGACAACTTTGAGACAGAATTAAATATAATTAAGCAAATAGCAGTAAACAACGGATACAACGAACAAACAATTAATAAAATGTTAAATCAAAAACTACACAAGAAAGCCCTGACAATAGTATTTCCACCACCAGAGAAAAAACCCAGTACCTTCTGCTCGATTACATATACAGGCAAAATAACAACAAAAATTGCCAAACACATAAAAAAGAAAGGAATAACACCAGCTTTCCGAACAAATAACAACCTAGGTAAATATATTAAAAATAACAAGAGCCAAAATAAAAAACACTTAAATAGTGGTGTGTATAAACTTCAATGTGGCGACTGCCCAAAAACTTACATCGGTCAAACTGGTAGAAACTTTGAGAAACGAATAGCAGAACATAAAAGGGCTTTCAAGAATAGAAAAACAGATTCGACATACGCACTTCACCTTCTAGATCATAATCATTCTTTTAATGACAAATTTAAAATTCTTCACATTCAAAATAAAGGCCTTAAGCTATCTTTGTTAGAATCTATGGAAATCAACAAATAAAAAAACACAGATATAATTCTGAATGACCAACTTGAGACAAACAGTTCTCCCCTCCTCAACCTATTTCATTAGAGACTATAAATTTGTAAACCCAAGCCAAAAATAGATTACTTGAGAAAGGCTATCAGCCGAAACAGCTGTAGTGATAATAGTTAAAATAAATTTTGTGAAAGTTTGAAAACAAAGTTTTCAGTGTTTTATTGTTAAATAAATTTTATATTTTTAAACACCATTAATATGGCCTTTTTAAATATTAAATACAGTATACAATGCCACTTATAACCTATTTACGAATAACTATTTGAAACAATTTGTGCCATGTATTTACCAACACGTGATATTTATATTCGGCATATTATTGACGTTATACCTTGAAACCGCGATGAAATGTTGGTGGTTTACAACTGTCAGTACATGAGAAATACTCCACTGTAATATTTTTAGGTCCCAACATTCTCGTTGATGATACACTTCCATCTGAAGTAGACAAAGGTCTTCTTAGTTCTGTTAAAGATTCCATCGTACAAGGGTTTCAGTGGGGTACTAGAGAAGGACCTCTTTGTGAAGAACCGATCAGAAATACCAAATTTAAAATTCTTGACGCGGTTATAGCCAACGAACCTTTACATAGAGGAGGAGGTCAAATTATACCCACTGCCAGGAGAGTCGTATATTCAGCATTTTTGATGGCCACCCCGAGGTTAATGGAACCCTATTTATTCGTTGAAGTACAAGCTCCTGCTGATTGTGTATCAGCTGTGTACACCGTTTTAGCAAAAAGAAGGTAAGGCAATTGTTTTGGTAATTGATTTATCTTTCGCATTAGACTCCTGTTTTTTCTCTTTCAGAAGTATGTATATAATCATTTAATATGGATTCCACTCCTGAGGTGAGGATCCAGAAGACTCTATAACCGCTATAATAAACTCTTCGTTCACGAATGTTTGAGATGTGAGAACAAACAATAGTCATAGAGAGCTAAATGTGGCGAATACGGTGGATGATACAACAATTCGTAGATTAATTCCCTGATTTGATATTAAAAATAACTTTTTTCTTCTGTAAACCAGGTCCTATGTCATAAACTTTTACATCCATTCGGTCCAAAATCTTGCAGTAATAATTTTTTTGTACCAGTTTGGAGATAATCCACGATTATGCCTATCCCCCTTTTGTCGCCGATTTATGGACCCTAATAGCTTCAGAGCCGAAATGCAGAGTTCCAATTACTTCTTAGATTGTTGTGTGTTGAGTTAGGATCATTGGGTAATAAGACCCTTAGAGCTTCTACTAGATCTCTCTAGGTTAAACCATTGTTCCAAATTCTTCCAGAATCGACGATTGCTGTTGTTTATACACTTTTTGGGTGTCCTTCACGTGGATTGGCTTTAATACTGGTAGAACCATGTTTAAATTCAGTAACCCATTGTAGGGCTAATTAAACTCATGGTTCGATTAATTTACTACTAGTAAAATTGCTTTATTTCATTCTGTAGTACCTACCAGACTAGACTACTGGTTAAGTTTTAGTTGTTCAGTCTCGTCCTGAGACTTCTTCCGTGCAGGTCCGTCTGAGGTCATACCATGTTTTTACTTGAACAATCGTTTATAAACTTGTTTTGATGCCACCATATATGCGAATATTTTAATTTACAATTGTAGATGTAAATTATAATTTGATCATTTTTATGTCTCGACATTTCATTTCATGTTTGACGTTTCGACGAATCTAACCTCAATAGTTACATAAATACTTCTATCAATAAATATTCTCGTTCAGTACCAAACTGTACTTTCATTATTCCATTGTAAGTACCACGCATGCCCAAGCAACCACTGAGTTCATCCAGCGGAAATAAAGTACGCTTATTTTATAGTGAGTTTAACATCGGCTTGCGATGGACGCATCTGAACGCTGCCGCTTAGCTGTCCAGTCGCTGAGGTCGTCTGAACGCACCCATTAATTTGATTCTTACCCGAATCTCCAATAATGAACTCTTAAGATGGAGAATTGGCAATTCTTCGACCAATGCCGTCATCAATTTTTAAACTGTGTTAGAAGTATAGTTTATAGACCATATGTTTTTCATCTTGTTTGTAGACTGTCGGGTTTAACATTACTGAACTTACACTTTGTTACACCATAAGAAGACTAAATAATTTAATAGGAGTATTTATTTATAAAAATATATAAATTTCACGAAAAATGAAAATATAACTTTCCAATTTAAATTTAATTAAAAATCCTTTGTAATAGGTATATTTCAGGCCCAAACGGGCTAAGTTAAAAAGACAAAACGTTTTCGGAAACCATGTTCCATCATCAGTGTCTAGGAGTACATGAATGTAGCCACCAAGATTAAATATGTGGGTAAAAAACCGATTACAGATGTTTAATTACATTTAGTTTTAAAATAATGTTATAATTATTTAGGATTAAAGAGTTACCGATGGATTAGGTAACATGGCGACATATGACTCCACGTTGAAGTTGCTAGTCCTGAGACGGTATGTCTTCGAGGACTGTATGAGTGCAACTCATACAGTCCTCGAAGCACTAAGTTGCACTCATACAGTCCTCGAAGACATACCGTCTCAGGACTAGCAACTTCAACGTGGAGTCATATGTCGCCATGTTACCTAATCCATCGGTAACTCTTTAATCCTAAATCATTATAACATTATTTTAAAACTAAATGTAATTAAACATCTGTAATCGGGTTTTTACCCACATATTTAATCTTGGTGGCTACATTCATGTACTCCTAGACACTGATGATGGAACATGGTTTCCGAAAACGTTTTGTCTTTTTAACTTAGCCCGTTTGGGCCTAAAATATACTTATTACAAAGGATTTTTAATTAAATTTTTAATACATGGTATACAGCCAACTACAGGAACGTAGATTCCTTGTGGGTTTCCAATTTTAGGCAAATTTAAAAAACGGACAGGAATTTCTCTGGCTCTTAGTAGTGCCGTTACTATTTGGAAAGCTTCTTATTAAATTATTAAAATTTTGGGGTATACCGGTCCAAATTGCTCAAGTTATATCACTTATTTTGCCAACTCGAAATTGTCAGCTTATCAAGCTTTATAATGTTTTGGGTAAACTTTGGACCCAGTTTAACTGTCTCAGTTGATGAGCAAGGCGGCCACTTATTTTTTTTTTATTTATTTTTTTATTTACAATTAAGGCGCATCCACCTAAGTGGTTATTAGCGCCGCTTGGTATTACAATTATTGTTACATGATATTCTATCCTTTCATTGTTCCAAAAACGGCATCTATAATTCTGTATTGATATTCCAAGAGCTAATTAATATGATATTAATCATTATTATAATTAAACATCAAAGTTTGATATAAAAACTGATATAACACCAAAAAACGTTGTATCACTTATTTTTTGCCTTCCATACAAATAATCGTCTATTGAATGGGTAAAAATGGACATTCGAGTAATCAGTAAAGAGACAATGCATCAATTCTTGTCCATAGTAATTTGCACACCACTGCGTCATCACTGGAGTGTATAGCACATCTTTTAGCCCTTATATTAACCGCTCCCAACCTTCTAACAGTCTGACTACTAATTACTTTTCCAGTAACTTGCGTGAAAAAACTGTGCACAACATAACACTTACCTGAATACAAATATTATATTTATTTTTAGGGGTCACGTTACGCAAGATGCACCTGTGCCTGGCTCACCTTTGTACACGATAAAAGCTTTTATTCCAGCTATCGATAGTTTTGGTTTTGAGACTGATCTAAGGACACATACTCAAGGGCAAGCATTTTGTCTTTCAGTATTCCATCATTGGCAGGTATGTGTTTTATTTTATGAAAAAATATATAAAAACTGTAATCCTCAAATAAATCTACTGAGCTGAATATACAGAATATACGTTTCTAACGTGCGTTTAATTTAGGCCCTGTGTTAGCTCGTCTAAGATTCAGAATAAGTGATGGTTGAACTAATGGTACATAGTGAGAAAGATTGGAACCTTGTGAATGTTATGATTTCTAATGTGATTAAAAAGATAAAGTGACTGGAAAAGGAGCGGAAGAAGGCGGCGAGAATGGTAAGTTCTTAATGGAGCGGATGAGAGGGTGAAATGGTGGATGAATTACCACACATTTTCCGGTACGGTCCAGGTGGTGTATTTTGAAGTTAATTTTTAGCGGATCGTAAAAACCTCACGACTATTATATCTTCATGTGCCATATGTTATATCTTCATGTGTCTTTTGCGTACCCTTAACTTTCTTTTCATTTACTGTAGCGCTATTAGAAGGCTGTTTAATTTTGAATTTGCGGTGTGTTCCCAGTACAATATTTGTTTTACTTAATTTACTTATTTTTAGCGATAATCTATATGTAATTCATTATCTTCTTGTAGATTGTACCCGGAGATCCTCTGGATAAAACCATAATAATTAGACCACTTGAACCTCAACCAGCTACACATTTGGCCAGAGAATTTATGATAAAAACAAGGAGGAGAAAGGGTCTCAGCCAAGATGTATCAATCAATAAATTCTTCGACGATCCTATGTTGCTGGAATTGGCCAGGCAAGATGTCATGTTAAATTATCCACTTTTGTAAATAGTTTCGAAAATAAACATTTTATAAAAATTAATACTTAAATATTTAACACAAATTCCCCCATACCTAGTTTTAATCATGATCTGTGAATTTTTTATTTGTTTACATTTATTCATGTATTTTTTCTTGACGTTTCTTAGGATGATCAGAAATCTGAATCGAAAAATGATGATAGTGAGAGTGATTAATATTGTATTTTAATTTTGTTTTTTATTCTATTATAAGTAATATTTTGATTTGTTTCACTGTCACTATATATAATGATTATCATAAAATTAATATACATAACTTATATAATTATAATTTTATACCACAGTCAACTTCCAAAAAACAAAATAACATACCATGATTAAAAAAATGGAACACATGAGTTAAAAACTTCACCGTAGGTGTGCATATTTTGGTATGAAAAGTGGTCAGTATTTATGTTTTTACTGTGGGTGAGAAATTGTGGGGTCTCTTCTAGCTAATTGAACAATGAAACTATCGTGGCAAGCCATTGTTACTTTTTCCCCACTTTGTGTTGGTCTATTCTTAAGTGTTACTAATTCCTAATACCTTCTTCTTCGCGTGTCGTAATATTTGAGGGTCCCTGTCATGACTATACACATTAAAGTCACTCAATCCCAATTCAGCAATTCAAGCCATGTTTATAATAATAACATCATAACTAGAGAGACTCACATTATGTCTAAAATTCTGAAGTTTAGTGCACATACCGCCAACATTCTGAAAATATAAGCTCAATGATCGTTTTTTGAATTATTAGATTTACTCACAATGATTTTGGGTACCCCGTTGAAGTACTTTATCTTCAAAACATTCTGATTACTATCTTTTGCTTTCTTTAGTCTAAATTTGGCTATTTTATGTATCTTTGCTTTACGCTTCTCGGAGTCAAGTTGATCGTATAGATTGGTGTACGCTTCTGCTTTAGCTTTTGCAGCCTTTTGGCTAGTTTTTCAACTTCATTTGACCATCAACAAGTCATTGTATTCTTAAATTTCTTTCCTGAAGATTTTTCCAAGTATCTCAACACCAGTATCTCTATTAATATTATCCATGTTCCTCCAAAGATTTTAAAATTTTTACTTAAATATAAAAGAAAACAAGACGAAACTTTTATTAAATTTATTTTTTACACACCAAAAGTAAACAACTTAAACGTAATAGACGGTAGGTTTTCAACACTTTTTAAAAGAAAATCTAAAAATCACAGGCTAATTAAATATCTGTTGTGGGTAATGAGCAGAAGAAAATTATAAACTACTAATATAAAAATTATAATTGATTTGTAACCACGGTCAAAAAGATAACCTTATTAGGGATTCTAAAACGAATAAATACGTTATAAGCTTATTTTAAAATGAATACAGTAAAATTCCCATATGAGTACTGCTGGAACATACTAATCAATAATATATATGCAAAAAGGTTATTTTTCCAATTATTATTAATCATATATTTCCGTTTTCCCATTTTTGTCTATAATTAATATAATCTCAGATTTTAAAACTATACTGTATTCATATTAAAATTTATAGTTTCTACAATTAATAAAAAATATCCCTATTCTGCACTACCAACTAGGTAGCTTGCTAAATATGAATCTAGATTATCATGAAAATCAGGAATTTCATAAAATGTACATCTAGATGAATCACAATAGTTACTTTACTGTACAAAATGTATTTTTTAAGATACGCTATGAACTTTTAGTCTGCGTGAACTTAATAGGGTATCCTATAATTGTGGTGTCACAAAAGTATTTTTAAGGAGAAGACCTCTATACAAATTTAATTTTAACACAAGTAAAACGAAATCACATGAAATATAATCGAGTGTAAATCACTTCATGATCGACTGAAGACTGTTTGATATTAGCAGTTCGGTGTTTACAGGTATCCTTCTTCGTTGGGTGGCGTACGCTACACAGCGTGTAGGCGTTCATGTTGGCTGTCGAATGTACAGAGATCCTTCTATTTTTATGATGTAACAGACCTCCAATATATATTATTTTCGATTACATACACATATAATATATTTGTATGACAACTACCTTTTATATTTTCCAAACAACATCGAATTCGGTAATAAAAGTATGTCATAACAATCATCCTAGTGTCCGCATTTGTAATTGTCAAAATTAGCCGAGTAGTTTATGTGGTGAGAGTTTACTAAAGGTCTGACTTCAAAATAATGCGTATCCCATTGTTTGTTTTGATAATCATGAGCCATTAGAAAATATGATTGACTCGAAGAATCCTTAGAGTGAATATTTAGTTCTCAAAATATTATTTCAATAGAGATCTGCATAATTTTACCCAATTTGATTGTTGCCAGGGAATTTTCTAAATCGTAGAATGTACTCTTCTTCTTCAGCCTGTTTCCATCCACTACTGAACAAAGACCTCCCCAAGATGTTGCAACTTAACAAAACTATAGTTTTCATATATGACCGTGAAGAAATTTAATATTTCTAGAAGTTTTATTTTATCACTACTTAGTTTTAGTCTAATGTTTAATGTACATATACCGAATAGATGACAAACATAAAATAATAAACTAGACTTAAAGCAAAATAAACAGGCGTCACTCCAGGTCAAGGTACGTGTCCAATAAAAGCGTGAAATTAGTGGATCAATGTCGGTGTTTTCTACCATTTTGCTAGTGAACGGTTCACGCGAAAATAAAAAAAATCTTTTAAGTTAGTAATATAAAAAAAATAATATAGGCATTGCGGATATATTTGCATTAGTTTACTATTTACTAGACAATTCCATCATATGAGAATTATTAGCAACAATTTTGCCGATTTTTTAAAATACAGTTGTAGTATTTAAAGTTTCGAAATTTTCTGTTTTTGTTTAAAGAATACCATTTTAGAGTACTAAAAAACTGACATTTTGTTTTTATCTAAAAAAAAAACTAGCGCAGAGTGTTTTTAAATGAATTCCTCGTAGAATTGGCAAGTAAATGTTAAATTAATGTAAGTGTATACACTTGATATTATTTTTCAGGTTAGTAGCCTAAGTGGCTTTTTCGATTTTCTCGTAAACAGCCTACTAGAATAATTTGATTTTTGACATACTTTAACTTTGCATGACGATTATATTTATTTTACCTATAAATATAACATAATTCTTCATTTGCACTTGGAGATCCTTTGTTTATTCATACTAGCCACGTTAATAATGTATAGTATAAAAGTTTTAATTATACCAACATCATTAACGCTTATATTATTAACGGATTATATTTCTTAGCGAGCAAACAACTAATAATTTTATTAATCATTAAAGTATCACTAATACCCAAAATAAAATAATTGGTTATTACATAAAAAATTAATATTTAATTGAAATTCAAACATGAAATACTCTTTGGGTCTCACCGTAACGATGTCTTGTATTAAAGTTAAAGAGCTATTCGTACCAAAAAACATAATAGGTGTCATGTTCTAAAATTTAACAAAACAATTAAAAATACAGATTTATAACTAATAACACGTTGGGAATATAAAAAAATATTACATTGTAACAATTATTAATAAATTATGACGAACAATACCTATTTAATACTGTAAGGAACTTAACGAATCTACTTTTTCTAATTTTGACATATAAAGTGACATGTGAAAGGTTTTTGAACTTAATATACTTTTGCTTTTTTTTTCGTAACTTTACTTTTCAAATCCGGTTACTGGAAATCAAATAAAATTTTAACTTAAAGTAGTAATCAAATCAACAGTAATATCACCAGACACTCATCTATATTAAAATGTGTTTTTCGTTAGTCAAAATAAAAAAAATATATATCTACTTCACAACGGTACTATACAGATAAACAAATAGTTAACGTAGTTAAAAACAAATTAGACATTTAAGTCCTTTCTCTACAATAATCATCGATAAACCTCAACACAAAAATCACAATCCTAATAAATATATTAAATAACATATAAACTAAAATTATTTTTATTTCTAACTATAAATTAAATTTAGAAATAAAAATCAGCAAATCAACAAACGAGGTTCCCTTTAATATGCAATCATAAGATACCCTAAAAACAGATCATTTATCAATTTATCTGTTTTAATAAAATGTTTTGATTTGAATTCATGGCTTAAAACATTCCTTCGTTATATATTTTAAGGCAATGACATTTGAAAATATTATCAAACACAGTCTTTTCTTTCCGTTATCAGACAGTAATAAAAATGACCTTTATTCTTTTATATTTACATGTTTGTAAAAATATAGGGACTGTTTATTTTATACTTAGGCCAATTGATGTTAAATTTTTGGAATTTGTCACGCAGATTTTTCTGTAACGACATTAGCTTTATTTGTCTGTCAACTAGTTATCTACAAAACGGGTAGGTAAGTCGCAAAACTAGGTAAAACCACCATGGTAGTTTTATGGTTGCTGTGTTTGAGATCTGAAAGAAAAAAAAACAAATGAAATTATTAATACAAACGCATCAAGGAAAATGATACGAAATTATTGTACAAGAGAAAATATCCAATTAATCCATTGAAAAGTTACATTAGGGGTTGCATTTTGTAGAGGACGCAATTTAATTTTTTAATATGTAGAGGAGTTAGTACAAGCTTAAGTTCAAGTTGGTGGGGTCGAGACTATTGTCCTACGGCTGCCAATATGCAAACATGGGTGCAAAGGGTTTTCGCGATGTATCTCGTTGTAGCATTTCGTTTTACCCCATATATATTAAAACACCTAAAAATATTCTTAATCTTTTTGAGTCTTCGAGATTGGTAATATAAACATTTTTAGTCTGTTTATAAAAATTATAATTGTTTTTTCGTTTGATATTGATTCCGCAGAGATATTGCGCGTCAAGTAAATATGAATCTTTCCACTTACGTTGGTGAGGAAAGTGATACGGGGAAGAGAATGATTTGGAAGATGAGATCACTCCTCGATGAACCGCTGCCAAAGCAGTCTGTTTCATTGTTTAGTCCAGATTTTCTTAAAATTCGTTATTCGTTTTTGTCATAAGAAAATAGTGTAGTAGCAGTTAGGAGGGACAGATTGCCTTGGAAGAAAACCTTAACCCGCACTTACGTTGCACCATAATTTCCGAAATCTTATCTATGCTAGTCTTAACTGAGACGAAATTTAAGATGCAATTCACGTTGTAACCATGTAACTTATCAATTATTGAGTGACGAAAAGAGTCTTTTTATGTTCATATGCTAATTTAAATAGGTATATATTTTTAATGCTTTGTCATATGATAACAACAAAAAATCATCAAGTATACATTACAGTAAATAACCATTTACTTTTCTTCTACCTTTCAACCAATCAACCAATAGCATAATCTACATTATATGGGGTTTTCTATATTATATGGCTGATTATGGTAGTCGTTGACCTTTTCTTGCAAAAATGCAACAAACATTAAATACTAACAAAGCTGTAATTTACTGAAATGTGTACTTAATGAGTTTTTCTTGCCATCAGACGATATCATAGTTTTTTTTTCTGAATTTAAATATTGATTATATCTTAAGTAGAAACTCTCCTTGTTTTATTTATTTTAGAGTGTAACAGATACAGTACAGGTGAACATAAAAAAAATGTGTATCTGTATACCACAACACAACTGTCAATTTTTTGAGGTTAGATTGCTCATCTTAAACTCAGGCAGCAACTTAAGCTGAGAATAACGGGGACTTGGGATTAGGATCGATTCAAACTGAACATTGATCTATGACTCAAAGCGTGTGTTTCGTAAGCTGAGCTTAAGGCAAGTCTTAAGATTAAGATATATTGGTGTAACCAGACATTAAGGTTATACTTACCCCAACACATCAAACAAAAATATTTCTTTCTCTGAAAAATGCACGCTAAGGCCTAAAAATGTAATATTTCAATAGACTAAATGATTTTTCATTAATCTATCGTAGGTTTAGACACTGACGCTATAAAGTGCGCGTCGAAGGTCAAAAATCTCTCTCCAACTATTTGTTGAGCTATAAAAATAAAATTAATCAAGCTAAGGGATCTGCCCAGTTAAATCTTAAATAAGGTGGTCGATAAATAACAACCTTGCCAATCTCTTGATGGAGCAGTGATTCAACCTTCTATTTTAATGCTTCTATAGTTGTGTTTTTAGAATTTTTACATCGCCGTAGCAAGTCCTGGATATATTCTTACAACGAAGAAATATTTCGGTCTACAGCCGGCCTTAGGATAGTTCGACAAAATAAAAATATTGATTCCTACGTAAATAAAAGAAGGGCGAACACCATGAATGTCACAAAATATTTTATTGAAAAAAATGAATTTTACAGTTAAATACGGTGTAAAAAGTAAAATATGTGCCTGATATATTATATTCCAAAACATTTATCATAAACATTTACTACTAAAAACTAGTACTTAAAACTAAACCAATGAAACAAACAGTTTTTGTAAAAAATAGGAAAATATCAGTCAGTGTCAATCTTTTATGGAGGAAAATTATGAAAGTCCAGGTGCGTTTCTTTTCTGAGCCAAACGTTTTTTCATTATAACAGGCTGCAATTCCTCAAGATTTGAATTATTGACAGTTCCTTTGTTGTTTTTTTTATCTTCATTTCACGAGGCATACTCATGTATACTTAATCTAATTTACATACCAATGCACGTCATTATCTACGTCAGAGATCGAAGTTGACATAGTTGCAAAGTATAAAAAAATCCTGACTCTATTTTAAATCAAATAGATCACATAATTATTGCAAAAGTATTACCATCTCTTTAAAATTCAAAATAATAAAGTACAAAAAGTGTCAACACCGCAACTGTCGAATAAGTGTTATCAATTTATGACAAAATTTCACCTTCGTTCGATTACAGTTACCGTGTGTTCCGAACAAATGTTCTTCATAAAAACGCTTTATAATACAAATTAAATCAAACATATTATTGTGTATTTCTTCAAGTTAACATTAATAGAAATCTTTAAATATTATTTCTACGCGTATATAATAAAATATGTCTAGTGGCTGTAATGCCAGTGTACTCGGCGAAGTGATTCTAAAAAAGAATAAACCTACCGCCTAAATATTTTGTGTTGGTATCATGTGACGTCACGGGCTATGACGCCGGTGACGTGCATCGGTATGTAAATTAGATGAAGTGTACATTTCTTTTGCTTGTTCGGATTCGCAAAACTTTGACAAACACGTTATGTCTTTGAACTTGTCTTCGTCAATAGCAATAAAGTTGATGTATGAATGCATGGGTAGTTCAAATTCGAAGGTGACAATTTATGCGACTATTTAGCTTGAACGGAAGAACAGATGGGGCCCGCAAGTTTGCTACCATTATATGAATCTCGGTGAAATACAGTGCGAAGATGAGTATTAACACACATCACCTCTTTAATTTTTTGCACATCAAAAGGAGCATTTTGACATATCTATCGTTAAAAAATTCAGTCCATCCCTTGATGAAATACTGAGATACTGAAATTATATTAAATGGGGCAAGCTTCGTGCGAAAAGCTCTAAAATTTTCCTCCAGCAGGCGTTTCCATTCTTTTTTTAAGGTTAATAAGGCCCATATTTTTGTAGCTCCGGATGGCCGTTAGAGGCATACTCATGTACTCATCATGGATACGTTATTTTAATGGATTGAAGACGTTTTACTACTGATACCATGTAATGAATAAACCTTACCGCTGTATAGTTTTTGTTTTATTTAATTTTGTCATATTTCGCCGCTACGCACGCTGGCACCGTTTCAATGTACCCCTACCATGGTCACGCACGGAGCGAATAACACAGAATAATAAACAATCAGAATGCCCACTCTCAGATGCCGCCTTTGAAGTTTTTCAGCACGCGCGCCATGTTTTAGAAGGAAACATATACCACAGACATATGATTTGTGAGGTTATGTAATTGTTTATATTTATGTTTAATTATATTATATTTATGTTATTATATTAAACAATGTTAATATAATTGTATAGTATGTCTATGATTGCCGTAAGTCAACTAAACCGGGTTAATTTTTCTATGCACACCACATAAACAATACTGGTTCCCTTTAAAACATGGCGGAACGTCTGCGCAAATGAGATAGGCGTACTTAATTTTCCATGGAGAGTGGGCATTCTGAATGTTTATTATTCTGTGGCTATAGCTTCATAATTCTTTTCTGTTCGTGTCCTTCTTTTGCTTTCCTTTTTCCTGTCATAAAACGCTTGAGCCCTACGAAGATGGAGCTTCGTAGGGCTCTCTAAGTGCTTTTCATTTGGTTATTTCAGTACGTCCACTTTTCTAGTCTGTTTCAGTTACTTTCATTTTTGCAGTAATTTGGTCACATTGACTACAGGTATCCGATCGTGGATAACCGAAACTAATGATATATTTTTGTCTAAAAATTTCTCTGTAACTTTGATAAGAAATTTTAACTTCCGGATATTTTTCTTTAAACAGAGAAAACATTTTCATTATATTTAAAGTTTCAGGCCAGTAGGTTTTACCTTTATTATCATGTAAGCTATAGTGACTACTTCTTGATTTAAATGACTAGATATGCTCGTGAACACTATTAACTAGGAGCTGTGCCAGATTGCTTTAACTCTTTCTGTAGATGTTGAAGTTTTGCCCCTGTAATACCATGAACTGCACGAAAAAACTTGGCACAAACTTGTATTTCTTCGTAATGTTTTTTCTCATCCTCAGCATTAGCAGTTGCCCTTGGCTGAACTCTGACCCTGTACATACAGGCTGCATCATGATATATATTGCATCATGTACATTTTTGGCCCTAGATCGCCGCCTCTGTACGTTTACTAATGATACACAAATACGCATTGTGTTCATTATGAGATATCAATGAATTAAAATGATTTAAAATTATTTGTCTATCCATTTCATTTACTATGTGACAACATTTCAAGCGTTTGCATTTGCAGAATTCACCAAACTCACGTGACTGAAGCTTCATTTCTTTCATGACTTCCTATAACCTACCCATTTTCATTCTCTTTTTAGTGGATATGTTTCCACTATCCGCCTTAATTGTTTTAAATAAATTAACTAACCAAACATAACTGCACAAGCACGTGGTTATAACGATGTATTTACTACAGACACGACCGTTTGCAAGACAAGGATGCCGATTACATTTTCTGGCGCTGCTGAGTGGAAATTCAGTGATTTAGCCATTTACGCGCTGACATGCACGGTTTTCTCCCGAGACCATTTAAAAGTACATATGGTTATAAAAACTTTCATAAATGTTAAAACTCAACAAATTAGTTGAAAAAATTGGAAAAGGAAATTATACTAAGAAATATTACGATTATAAATAAAATATGTTTACCTAGTGTTTATATGGGAACATAATTTCCTTTAGGTGTATACCATAATTGACCTCTAGATAAGCGCCTAAGAATTTCGCTTGCAAGTAATTTCTTTTCTTTCTTAATTTTCTTTAATACTCCTTTATTTTCGTGAGCTCTTCGAGATAAATACGGTAATACTTCTTTTACGGGTCCGTAGGGGATGTATTTGTAAGATGAATATCCAGATTGACCTAAAAATAGAAAAATATAAACTCGCCTGTTAAAAAATATAAACGTTGTAGTTGGCAATCGAAACAAATTTTATAAAAACAAAGTTTTTACTCTTTTACCGGTAACTGCCTGTTGATTTTACAATCCGTGTTTTACTTTAATAAATTTTACGGTTTCGAATTTTTGGCTCATTTCTCGACTTGTAGCATTTCAAATCACCTTGTATATATTAAAACACCAAAGAATATTTTCAATGTATTTCTATTTCCTACCGTACGTTTTAAAAGTTTGTTTATATATCACAGATGCGTATTTTTTTCGGTATTTCTTTGATCGAGAGCCGCTTTAAGATATTTTGCGCGTCAAATAAACAGAATATTTTCGTTTATGTTCTATTGATACCGAGTTGGGCGAACGATTTTTGAAGAGAATGACATCACTTTCAGTGAGGCCGCTGTCAAAGGCAGTTGGTTTCGGTGTTAGTCCGAATTTTCTTCTGATTCGTAATGTTTTTTTTTCGATTTTCGTCTTTTGTCATGGGAAAATGTGTACTAGAGTAGCAGTGTTAAGCTCTATGTGAAGATAAAATGAAGATGGGTTTGCTATCTTGACGGGAACGGGGTTATACGTAATCTTCAAAAAACAACCGAAATTTTGTTTGTGAAAAAAGTGAAGTATACTCGAATGTGTCGATTTAAATAAGAGCAATCACTGTTTTGTTTCATGCCGTCTCTCCCCTAAGGGATTTGAAGAACGGCGTTTCAAACAACTTTTAAAGTTATCCACGTGGTTCTATGCAAGGGCTTGAGTGTTCCAAAAGCCGAGTTTTGAAGATTGCTTCCCAGTGCCCAGCTTCAACCCTCATTTTGTTTGTCCCAGGTCATTCCAGACTACCTATTTACGCATTTATTTGTGGTGCATTGAGTCTGAGTCCAGTTCCAACCCCAGAAATTTTAAAGGAGAAAAAATAACATTTAGTGAAATTCAGGTAACTTTTTTGTTAAACTGTTACAGTAAAAATAGACATTTTCCATCAATAATTGCTTTCATGACAAGTTGAGAAATGTTAGGGAGTGAGTAAGCTGTCATATTAATTATTCTCAAAGTTTAGAATTTAGTATTGACATATGACAGTCAGCTTTATTTTTTTTGACATTTGGTACATACCCACCCATAAATTTAGAACTTTATCTGTAATAATTTATTTCTGCTACAAAATATCACCCATTAACAATTGTAAGTTCTTATAGTATCTCCAACATCTAGACTTTGTAAACCGATAGTAACATAGTAAGTTTGTTTTTTGTTATTTTGTATTACTATTTATATTTGTAACTGTGGTGAGACAACAATAAATATGTAATTTTTTTCCTAAAAAAGAGTAATATTTCCTTTAAAACGTTTCTAACTCTTTTTTTTTATATTTGTTAGGAAAGAAAAGCCTATCTTTCCACTCCGCCGGAAGATTCTTTTAAGCGGCGTCCTTATTTTAAGTAGCTTAAGAACCTTCTTGTGTGCTTGTTCCAGGAGACCCATGTAAGTACCCCTTTTTGATTCATTTTTGCGGTTACCCCAATCCAGTCCTCTTGTTATTTACTTATCCACGACCCAGCTCTCCAAAAAACCCTGAGGAGCCGTTCGCAAACGTTCTGACTTGTTTGGCTTACCCTATCTCCACCCCAGTAATTTCTGTACAGCTGAGATGACCGAATAGTTTACACCTTCATTTTACATTGTAATAATGTAATCGCAGTGTCGTAGAGATTTGCTAAATGTCAAAGTGCTTGTCAAAAATTTCGTGCATATTGAAAAATAAAATAAAAAGCTATTAAACATGTCCAAAATGCCTAGAATGCATTTGAATGATGCAAAAAATAAGAACAATTGCGAAACTCGAAGAAGCTTGATCACTAAAGCAAGCTACTGCAGATTTGAACGTGCGCCATAAGGTGGAAATGGAAAATCAAACAAAGATGGGATCATTTTCACTCTATAGCACGGAGGGAATGAGATCTCTACAGAGCAACAAGATGAGGTGTTTAATGTGGCATTTTCTGATGAAAAGTGTTCGTTCAAAATCATATAGCAATGAAATATCTGAGATATTACATTACAGAAGAACTAGACCCAAATAAAGATATTAAATGCAGAATTCAAACAACTGGCACAACGTTGAGCTGGTACCTGGACTATAATGACTGATATGCTTAATCGCCTACAAGTGTTCGAAATGTGGTTCTGAGTAGCTATGCAGTCCAACTAAACTGATAAATATAGCAAATGCTATATTGCTTTATAAATATATACATACATTATATAATATCTACTATATAACAGGCACATGCAGTGCTGAACAACTATTTAGATTAGCTGAAAACCGAGAACAACTCGCCAATGTCACTGCCAACGTCAGGGGATCTGATACGGCTTTGAACGAAGAAGAAGCAGGTAGTAGGCAAAAACAGGACAAATACTATTTAGAATAAAAATATTTTCTGTTTGCCAAATTTTCTGGACTGTCCTGCCTGGAATTTATTACCGTTAACAGGATGCGCCGGTTAATGGGTGATCATGATTTCCACGCCACCAGACGTGGAAAAGAAGGCTTGTCTAATATGTCAACTAAATCCTAAATACAGCTTGCAGCGTAGCCTACGACCGTCTATTTGTTGCCTAAGTATTATTTTTAAGAATATCAAAATTTTAACATTATTTTTAGAAAACCTTACCTAATGGGAAAGTAATATAATCACACATAGCAAACAATTGTCCAAAACATATCACTTTATCTTTGGGTTCCACCCCATATTCCTCCATTTTTCTAATAGCAAATCGCACGGTATCTTCATTGTGAGAAGCTACCATTATAGCGATTTTCTTGTCTTCTCCTTTTTGCTTGAAGGCCTTTATCCTCCTCAAACATTCTGAAAGGGTTTTATGATACATCTCGGATGTAGCTTCGTAATCTGGATTAGTTGGATCAGGGTAGTCCATTGCGGCTGCTCTGGCTCGTTCCTGAAAAATTAAACATAGTTTACAAATTAATTTTAAAATAATTTTTTTAAATGTAGTATAGATTTATTGCTATAACTCTTCTTCGTCTCAATGAACTGTGTACATAAGAAATACATGCCCCCCCATTTTGTCTGGGTAAGAACTGAGAATGAAAGGGAAGTTTTCTATGATCAATTAGGTGTTTGATTCTATGTTATTGTGTCTGAGTTATTTTAATTGTTTATAATCTTAAAACCACAGTACTTTTGTAAAACTATTTTACAATATTGAACCACTTTTTATTCGTTAAATGATTTAATTTGACAAAATAAGCCTCTTTCTTTCTTCAATTTGGTTCACAATAAAGTCTCTTTCAGAATCAATAGTTTACGCATAATAACGATGTAGATAAAAGCTTTTTGAGATAAACAATTTCAATTTTGCAGTAACTATTAAACTTCTTGAAATTTTTAAAGTTCAATAATTTTCAAAAAATCAACTTTTGAAACTATTTTTGCAATAATTAAGCGACAAATTAACAAAAATAGCTTTACAAATCTCCATTTTAAAGGATTTTCTATGCCTTTTCAGTAAAATTTTGTAATTTTTCACCTTTAGTATTTAAAATTAAATACCGATCTTACATTGTCTATATATTGTTTATAAGTAAAAAATGACGCAATCTTTTGCATATTTTTATTATTACATATTGTTATCACCAAATTTCGAATCGACCCCCATAGAGCAGTGTCTTTATCGTAAGAGTAACCTTTTTTTCACCAAAGGAGAAGAAATATCAATTTTATAGTAGTAATATATTTTCAGGTTTTAGGTGATTACTAATGGCGGTGGTAATCATCCTAAATGGTATGTATTCATCATTATTCCTTACTAAGCTAATGATGTATATACTATGTTAATAAATATTATATACCTTTATTATAATGTAGTTATTGAAAGACGCCATGAGAAATACATAGTGTATACATCTTACAAATAAAAAAAAAATAAAAGATATTTACCTACTATGTTAATAAATATAACTATGGTAATATATGTTTTTTTTTTCACTACGTTAGGACATAAACCCGATTCAACCTCTCGGAGGTTTAGATCCTCTTAGTGATTGTTTTAGTAATTTCTTTAATTTTTTTTATTTTGTTTTTATTTTATTTTTTAATATATTTTTTATAACATCTTTTTTCTTTTTTTTAAATTTTTTTTTTCTTTTTAAATCAATTTTTTTAAAGTATTTTTTTATATTCTTTTTATTATTATTTTTTTTTAATCTTTTTGTTTCTATGATTTTTTTTAAACATAGGTTAAAAATCTTACTAATTACAGGCATACTTTACTATCAGACAAAAAGGTTATCAAGCAGTTAAACATTTTGTTTTCATTTAGTGATAGTAGAAAGAGAATATTAACAGGAAGTGGGATGTTCATGTCTATGATTCTTTTAATTAAGTTGTTGGTAGGTTGTTTATACTTTTGACATTCAAAAAATATGTTGTTTAAGTCACTTTTAATCTGACATTCTTGACAAATATCCGAATCTAATATATTTAGTTTAAATAAATGTGCAGGATAACATGCATGGCCAAATCTAAGTCTACTGATGGTAGTTATGTATTTGCGAGGGAGGACGAAATTCTTATACCAAGGTTTTTTTAGAATAATTGGGTGGGCCTTAGATGACTGTATAACTTTTTTCCAATTTGTTCGGTCTTCCATCAACCTAGGGTCAAATGGAATGTTCATTTTCTGGAGATCTGCTTGGATGTTACCTCCCCATCACATTCTGGGACGTCCAAGTGGTCTCTTGCCTATGGGAATCTCCTCCAATACCAGAAGTCCCTCGTTATGTAGTCTGTGCACGTGGCCTGCCCATCTTAGTCGCTGTGATTTAATTTCTTGGATAATATCGGCGTCATTGTAGAGTGCTTTTAATTCGACATTGGTTTTAATCTTATACTGGTTTGTGGTGATGTCATGGTGAGATCCGAAAATTTTTCTATTTTAAGTACGAACCGTCTGAGCTTTTCTTCGTTTGCTTTGGTCATGGTTCACGTTTTGCATCCGTATGTTATTACAGGTCTGACGATGGATTTATAGATTTTGGACCATTGAACTTTTGGAGAATCGAATCTGCAAACCGCTGACAGCGGTTTGCAGATTCGATTCTGTCTTTTATTTCTTCAGTAACATCGTTGTCAGCTGTGATTACGGCCTCCAGATACTTAAAACGTTGTACTCTTTCGAAATTGAAGGTGTTGACCGTCACATTTTGTCCTATTCTGTCTCTTCGTGTCGTTCTATTTATACATATATATTTCGTCTTCTCTTCACTAATCTTCAGCCCTACTTCACTCGTTGCTCCTTCCATCTTGTTGAAGATGTCTTTCGTGGATAGGATGGAGTCTCCAACGAGATCTATGTCATCTGCATATGCGAGTAACAGCTGGAACCATAAACCGATAACAATTCTGTTTTTATTTCGGCCGACCTCATGGCTTTCTCTAATACAAGGTTAAAAAGTAGTGGAGATAATTCTGCCATGGCATTTCATACTTGGCTTCTTTCTACGCTATCATGTGCCTGTCGAAAGTCTATGAAAAGATAGGTTTATGGGTCTGTTATACTCCCATCCCTTTTCTAGAAGTTGTCTCAGCGTGAATAGTTGATCTATTGTTGATCTGTTTGCCCTAGAAATCGTATTTATTATCAAAACATAAAGAAACTTACCTGTTCGAGATATGCTCCCCGAACGAGTTTAGCTCCAAAATAGAAGTCTTGACGTTTTGCTTGTTCCAAATCAGTTGAAACTTCATCAAACGCATTTTTCAAATAGCATTGGTAAGTATTAAATACTATCGCTTTTTGTTTGTTGTACTTTCTCATATATTCCAGAGTAATTCGGGTAATTGCTGGTTGGAAATATGTTTGCTCTGCGTCAACCATTATCCTAACATCCATTTCCTGTGCTGCCTACGAAAATTAGAATAATTTGATATTTTGTTTTAGCAAATATTGATAACATTACTCTACAAAGAAGACATTGTTATTTAGATTTTAACAAATCTGGTTTTGCACGGTATTTCTGATTAACCCATTACTCTTATTTCGTTACACTCGAAAGGTAAACTGAAATAAAGAGTTACTACGAATCTTTGAAAGAAAAGTATTGATAACCTTAGACGGAGGAGTTAACGAACAGGATCTGTGAAGAAGACGATATAATTTCGAACTTTATGGACTGTTTGGTGATGCAGATATTGTGAAAATCATCAAAATAAACCGTCTAAGATGGGTGGGCCACTTTCTGTGGATGGATGAAAGTGATCATTCTAACATAAAGCCGGTCGAAGGAAGAAGAAGGGGCGACCAAAACTCAGGTATCTAGATGATGTGCAGAACGATTTAAGAGAGATTGGAATAAGGGAATGGAGAAGACAGAGACTCGAAGGATGGAAGAACGTTTTGAGGCAGGCCAGGGCTCATGAAGAGCTGTACTGTCAACTGATGATGATGTCATAGGAGCCAAAGCGAATGAGCAGAGGAACACTCGACAAATCAAACACGAACGGTGAACAGCTAAATCGCGTAAATACAGAATCTGGCTGTATTTTACGTGAAATGCCCTGGTGGACTAACAAAAGGGCATTTTTTACGGCATCAGGCAACTCAACCAGTATAAAGCCCTATTATTCAAGGTCTAAACTCATGCGATCAAGAGATGGCACTCAACTTTTTAAGGATACCTGCTCAAACAACTGCCGATAGAAAAAACACTTTGTACAGCTTTTAAATAGACAGTCGAAGGACGATAATGATTTCACCATTTCTCAAAAGCCCATACAACATCATCTAAGCAACGTTACCATCTTACCAGAGGTCGAAAATGCAATGAATCAACTACAAAACAACAAAGCAGCTGGTACTGACTAAATTCCAGCCGAGATCTTTAAGAAGGGAGGCTCTGCACATAGGCAACATATTTATATACTTATCAAAAAAATGTGGATCACTGAAATGATCCTTGCCGAACTAAGACTACCCTATCGTTACCATCTTTAAAAAAGGCGACGAGATCTTTTGTGAAAATTACCGGGTAATTTACACAGCTAGAATTCTAACAAATCGCCTATTGCCAGTTGAAGACCAACAATATGGAGGTCTCCCTAACTTCAGTATTCAAGCTTCATGCTTCAGTACGCCGCTAATAAAGTAATCATGGCTAACTTAGAAAAATAATTGCAAATAATCTTAAATGTTTAGGCGTACACCAATTTAGGATTGTCGCTTAAAATAAATCAAATACAGGTTCTTTACCAGCCTTTCTTTAACGCTCTCAAACCATCCATCAGTGTTCGGATGGATGCGAACATCAATAAAGATATTCAGTGTCAACTAAGGTTTGCCAATGTAGCTTTTGGCCGCCAAATGACACGAGTTTTTCACAACCACAAGATCAGCATCTAATCAAAACTGTATGTTTGTTTACCGCACCATAGTGATTCCTAGGTTATACATATTATTATCCTCATATGCGGTATAGAGACAGCTACTCTGACTAAAACAATTATGACAAAAGTCGAAGTTTTCGAGATGTGGCTTTACAGAAGAACCCTGAGAATATCTTACGTAGACAGAGTCACGAATGAAGAAGTCTGAATGAGCATTTCAAAAGAAACAGAACTGAATTATAAAATAAAGGTTGAACTAAATCGAAGCAATGAAACAGTGTCTGGCGCAAATCTGTGTTTAATGAAACATTATTGGATTTCATGTACTACTTACTTTCACAATGGTATTAAATCTCCTAACCATATTTCTAAACATCTCCTCTTCCTTTGGTGATAGCTGTGTTAATAGCCTGATCATTCTTCCTGACTTTAAGTCTGGAACTCTGAAGGAAGTACTCAACTCTTGGTTCTCGTCAATAATACCCGACCAGGGGAATAAGTGGAGAACACTGCAATTAAAAATATATTTTAATAATATTTATGAATAATAGTTAAGATAGGTACATATAAAAATTCATAAAAATTGTGGATCGTAATTAGTGTCTTCATTGGCTTTCGCTTTTCGTAGGCTGTGTTCAGACAGTGACTATTTTCCTCTTTTTTTCCTCAGAAGCCATTTGCTGTTATAACCGGTCGAACTGCATTGCATTGACTTATTGTACATCTTCCATTCGTGTAACCTTCTGGCGCAGGTTTTTCTCATCATCTAACCACTGAGCTATGGCCACCAACGAGACGGTGGCAATAATGATGTAAACAATATCATGGAACCTTTCTTTATCAGCAGCGCCCATTCGAAACAGATCTTCCACCCGAAGACCCGTTCATTGTCTGATCTTACGTAATCAAGAAATATTCGTACGTCCAATCTTCGTCTTCCTTTGAGTTTTTCCTGAATAATCGCAGCAGTTGGTGTTTAGGTTCTTTGATGATATGACCAAAGTTCTGTTTTTTATCTTTAAATTGTTTGGCAGTTTCCTCCGTGTTTTCATCATTCTAAGCACATCTTCGTCGGTAGTTTGTGTGGTGCACGATATCATCAGATTTCGACGATAGCACCACCGCTTAAATCCGTTTGGAATACAAGTTGTATTTCAACTTTATGTGAAGATCCCAGACTATATGGTTCGTTATGTAATTATTAAAAGCTCTATTCTTGGATATTTCATTATATTTATAAAGAATATTATTTATAATACATTTGCTATATTAAATCAATATTAATATCGAAATTGAAACTGAAACTATCGAACTGTTCAACGTAAGATGATACTCAGATGAAGGTTGTTCAAATAATGTTCTTTACTATAATAATACAAAACACTTTTCATTATTTTATACAAATGTTTAATATAATTTAATAGCCAAGATAACGGTTCTTCAAATATTTTTTCTTACTTTCCTTAATATAGAAACAACTTTCACTTTATTATTTAATAAAATATAATGATATAATTTTGAAACTAATCAACATTTATAGAATGAAATATTTATACAGGGCGATTTTATACAGGGTGTGAATCACTTATGGAACAAAATTATTTCTGTCTTTGCTTTATAAATCATAAAAACGCTGATACCCGTCGACTTTTTTTATATAAATGTGCTTCCATGATATTTTTAAACAGATACTAAACAACGAGAACAAACAGAACCGGTGTAGAAACATAAATTTGATGTCGCGATGGTAAATTTTTATGATGTAAGAAATATCTGAAAGAAAATATGATATTTTTGACCGTAAAAAACACCAGAAGAAATTAAAAAACTCACCAACGCCAACAGAATAAAAACTAGCAAGACTACTGGGCAATTGCATAGCTTTGTACTCTCCAATATAAAATTGGCAGGACCCTGGTCTTCCTGGCCTTTCGGCAAACGACCTTTAGCGGACCCACTGCCCCTACGAGTCCGACACCTACTAAGGTGGCACGGTACCGAAGTATCGTGGGGCTCCACCTTACCCGTAGTGCCTGTGTTACGGATACGTCACCCGTACGGAACTCCCTCCCCCAGGGGCGGAAAGGCGACGCAGGGGGAGGAATTCCACCTCGCACGTAGACAGGTCACCGCCGAGGAATCGCTCCTCTACCACTCTTAAATAATTCCAGATGGGTACGTGCCGGGTCACCATACCACCCTCGGTGGTGTAAGGCCGTGGGAGGTATTTACGCTCCCAGCTCGTTCAACCTCATCTGGCTCTTGTGGAAATGAGAGTAGAGTGGTCCTACGAGATGCTCGTCTCGGATACTAGGAGTGTGGACCGGTGACCGAGATGGCTATGCATCTCAAGTGCGTTACCACAAACCCGACACCTCGAACGACGGCTCTCCACCTCTCATTTCTCGCCCATTAGTCGCCTCTTAGGACAGGCAGGGTCTTCTGGCCTCGGCCGTATTCTTATCTCCGCGAGCCGAACGGGGAGACTCCTGGGCCAGAGGGAGTATCCATAGAACTGATTAAATATGGCCCTGATAAACTATTTCAGCTATTAGCTTATACCTTTAATTTATACTTGAAAGGCGAAGAGCTTCCACCAGAATGGAAAACTGCATATATCAGCAATCTATACAAGAATAAAGGCGACAGAATGGATTGTACGACTCAACGAGGGTTTAGTGTATGGGAATTTATTGATCTTCAAAAACCGCATGATGGTGTCGCTAAAAGATAAGAAAATTCCTTAAAAAATGCTTTCAGAACAAGAAAGTAACGTGTCCATTTTTATTACAAAATGTCAAGTAGTTTAGGAGATAATGCAAAAAAACAATTTTTATTTTATAACTTCAAAGGGCTGTAACTTTTTTTGTGTACACTTTTGTACTAAGGTAAGTTGGATTCAATCAATTTATTTTAGTCAACGGAATCATCATCATCATCATTGGCTTTTACAACTCTTCGTGAGTTTTTGCCGCGTTTACTATTGCCTTCCATTGATTCCGATCCTGTGCTATTATTTCCCATGGCCTTACTTCCATCTTCTCCAGGTCTTCTCTGACTGCGTCTTTTCACCTTTTTCTAGGCCTTCCTGTCGATGTTCTACCATCTGGTCTTTCCCAAAACACATTGCTAATCAGTCTGTCGTCATCACTCCGTACCACGTGGCCAGCCCATCTTAATCTATTGGCTTTTATGTATCTTACGATGTTTCCTTTCCGAAGAGAGTCTTTATTTCATTGTTGTATCTGCTCCTCCATTCATTTGTCACGCTGTCCCTGCAAGGACCATATATAATTCGCAGGATTTTGCGTTCCCATACTAATAGGTTTGTTCGTAGAACGATCAGCAACCGTTGCCAACCATCAGACGCGCGCGCAGTTAACAGCGTTCGTAGAAGCACTTCTGACGGTTGGCAATTTTAAGTTTGCTGTTCGCAGTAACAAAGTGATTAATCAAAATTCGGTTTCCAACGGTTGTTAACATCCCCAACGATTGTGCGGACTAAAAATCAGCGACATGCGCAGAGGTGTTGTTGTTGTATATAAATCTCTATTTTATAACCACAAAACTAACGTTGGGTTGTTATAACAACTATATAGGTATAACTAAAAAATAAAATATACTAAGAAAACTATAATCAAACTAATAAAATCAAATAAACGACTAATAATATTAAACAATAAATGCAAAAAAGTGAATAAAAAGACAACAAACTAATTAGATCGAATTCTAAAGGTCGTATGACACTATGCATTTTCTTGTATCATTTCTTATATCGTTTCTGATATAACAAAAATAATGGATAGTGTCATACAAGCGTATAGTTTCTTATATCAGAAACGATACAAGAATTTATGTCCGCTGCATTTTCTTGTACAAGAAATAACCGCTCTAAAAATTAGTGATGAGTTTAAAGATTATTTTATATCTCCAAATAAGAGAGTAGAATGTCAAGAGCATGCCATTCAAACACATAATAAAAAAAAAACAAATAAATTATTACAACCAAATTATTATTTCTGTCTTCCATTACAGCCTGTTGAATATCTTCAAAAATTGTGGTTTCCAATTTAGTTTTAATATTGGGACATTTTATTTCTTTAATTTTTGCACCACAGTATTTAAAAAAATAATCAGTAGCATATGTCCTCAGTCCCCAGTAGCTTGGAGTCCTCAGGTACTGCAGTTCTATTTTTATAAGTGTCAAAATTTCCACCAATCATGTGCCAAATCACATACAATTTCTGGTAAAAGACCTTGCATAGTGTCATACAGGGCAAAAATGTACGTGCAAGAAACGATACAAGAAAACATAAATAACTTTCTATATCAGAAACTACATAAGAAATAATACAAGAAAATGCATAGTGTCATACGGCCTTAAGAAATAAGAAAAGGAGATTTCGAGATTTGACAAACGACAATGACAAATGCAAAATATCAAATTTTAGGTGTTCGCAGAGCACAAAATCACAAACTAATTCCAAACAGTTTCCAACTGAACATGCGCACTGTATTTCAAATCGCAAACCGTTTGTAATCGCTACTACGAACAAACCTAATAGCTTTCTTTCTCAATGTCCATGTTTCACTTCCATATGTCACTGCTGGTCGTATTATGGTTTTGTACATTTGGATTTTGGCACGCCTTGAGAGAAGCTTTGACCTCATTAGATGTTGAATGGCAAAGAATGATTTATTTCCCGCCAGTATTCGTATTTCAACCTCCCGTTCTCCTGTGTTTTCACTGGTAATTGTTGCTCCTAGGTATTTGAATTCTTTGACCGCCTCAAAATTATGATCGTTTATGGTAATGTTTTGTCTTATTCGTTGTCGTTCCTTTTTTGATACGACCATGTATTTAGTTTTTCCTTCGTTTATTTTCAGGCCTACGCTTAGTGTTGCTTCTTCAAAGTTCGATACTATATCCTTAATATATAGTCAACGGAATGCGTGATTTAATTTATGATATACTTTTTTGAAACACCCTGTATATAATGTACTTTTCCTTATGATAACACTTTATATTAAAGGCATCCTGCGAGCAACCGGTAGTCGCTACAGCCACAGACAAACTATTAGCATGTGTACCTAATACTACTGTTGTGAATGTATTAAAAAAAAATTGTTGTTACCTTATTTGAAGAGGGAACAGTGCTTGGAATATTGGTTTAACTACATGCTAAAATGTATTGGTCTTCGTTGAAAATATATTGAACTAATAAATACTTGTTATATGTCAGAAAAATGTCCAATACATTTTCCTACCTGAAACCTTCAAAGATGTAGATAGAAGATATATTTATAAATAGAGCGAGCTCCAATAGTTTTAGTTATGTGGAAAATATAAGGAAAATAAGAGAAAGAAAGTTGAACAGCTATTTTCTGTCAAGCGATTCTGACTAACAATTGCTGAATTTGATAATAATATTCTTATGTAACGTGCACAGGATTGGATTTTCGTAGGATATACATACATAATACGATAATAGATTTCGTGAAAATATTC